TAAAACTCACGATCGTAGCCGTGATATGATCCAAGAATACTGCAAAGGAAAACAAGAACGAAAAAATAATAGTAACACAGCTTGAAGGAGGACACCTGATGATATACAGAAAAGAAAAGTAAGAGTTACAAAATGTTGATATTTTATGGGCCAAATGAAGGAGATAAAAAAGAAAGATGAATTTTGGAATAGTTTACAAGAAAAAGCAGAAAACAGCAGGGGTATACTAGTAATCCTAGGAGACATGAACGGAAGAGTGGAGACCGCTCCGAGGGCATAGATAGATTTCAGGGGGTCTATAATAGGCTACACACGTCTTTTTTACACTTCGATCAAGTCTGATCTTTTATGAAAGACCTATTGACCTGTTGGTCCGGAATTTGTTTCCAGTGGGATTTTTTTCCGCTTTTCCCCACTCGTATATTTCAGAAGCCAGGTGGGCTTTCTCTAGCCCGCAGTAGGATTCTGGACTAAGAAAGAAAACTTTGGCACATTTTTTAGCAAGGATGTCTGCTATTTCGTTTACTTCTATTCTTTCATGTCCTGGCACCCAGCACAGAGTAATTCTGTTTTTGATAATGAGATCGTTGAGAGATTGTTTACAGTTCAATTCCAGCACTTTTGAGAAGCCTTTGAAGGCACTTTTGGGCGCAAAAATTTATAGGAGAAATTTCTGTTTATAGAATCGTGGAAGTGCAGAGATCCTGTATTTCGGACGATATACTCCTATCCCACTCCCTTGCTCCGATATTGACCTATTTGTATAGATAGATAGATGGATAAACTTTATTGGTATTATTCTACAAATGTATTTACATATATACGTCTAAGTCGGTATCACCAAGCTTAACTATCAGATCCTCAACAAGTGACCATAGCAGAGGTGACAAAACTCAGCCTTTCGGACATTGTCTTTGTGCAGCCACTGTTGTCGTCTCATTCTCAGTAGTATAGATCCCGAATCAGATCGAATGGATGGGTTGCCCAATTATATCACTTCAAGACTACCCTTAATCTTAACCTATGCATAGGTATAAAATCGATAATGCCAACTCACCTGATTATACCTGGCAACCAGGCAATAGGGAGCAGTAAAATATAGACAATCTAGTTGCTTATGTTTTGTTCTCTCGAGTGGTGCTTTGTCAGTCACGACAAACACTTTTATATACTCTATAATAATATGTTAGAACACCTGTTGCACTAGTTCCGTTTGCGTGGATTTTGCAATTACACATTGTTTTTCATCTCCTAATAGGATTAACATTGTTTACTAGGGACAAATGCCACTCTAACGTTCCGCCAACTCTTCGGCCTGTAGGTGAGATACTAACTACCCCTAAAAATTGTTTTCAGGCTGAGTAGTAATTCATCTACTGCACTTTGAAGCAACATTGCATCCGTGCTTAAGGATTTGAATGCTTTGGAGCTTTTAACCGCCCATTTGATTCTTTTAGCGGTAGCGATGTGACCTGATAAGCTTTTACCCTCTTTAATAGTTGAGAGACAACCCATACGGGCATTATTTCGGCCTGAGTACGAGCGACTTCGTAGGATTTTGTTCCAGGAAAGGGAGTTTCCAAAAGAATTTTCAAACTTTCTTCTAGATCTGTGGTATAATTACCGTTCGGTTTTTTAAATAAAATAAAATTTTCTCAATTCTTTTTTCTATTCAGCTTTTTTGTAGTCGTTCCACGTACCTAATCTTAGTTCTGTTGAACAGTTTCCTCACTTCTGATTTCAGACGACCTAGTTCTTTATTCTGCTGAAGTGCATCTCTCGATGTCACCTTTTGTCTCAAAAGACTTTTTTCCAATGATGAAATTATTAAGTGCTTTGAGGCACTATCAAGTTCTTCTGTCGTTTCGATGTTGTAACAGGGCCCGCCGGTTTAGAATTTCATGAGTTCTTTGTGGAAACGCCAATCTGTTTTCCTGGGTATTTTGGACTTTTAGAGACCCTGGGTAGGCACATTTTTGTCTCATAGAATCTGTAGGCTATCCGACCTGGAGCCTTCCTCCACTGTGTGCCAATTTTCAATGAAGCGTGTTATAAATGGACTCGCTAGAGTTAAATTTAATACCTCTTTTTCCCTTATTGTGCGTTGGCGTCATAGACCAGAATTAGTTGTTTGTGCCCTTTTTTGCACCAGCTGATGAGACTTTTGAATTCCTCTGGACACGGATTGTTTTGCTATTCGCTAGGGAAATACGCAAAGAAAATTGTAATTTGCCTTTGGCGTCTATCCGTGGTACTTCTGCCACCAAGCCACTGCGACCAAGTCTCAGCTAATGAACTCTAGAATTGAAACAAAATTACGTAGTGTTGATGTCGAGCTCTATAACTGCCCTTGGTCTCTCACGCAATAGGTTATCCTACATGACATTTTTGTTAGTCCGCTAATTTGTCCCTTTCCATTTATCCAAGGCTTTTGAATGATACCTATGTCAAAATCTTCCTTGACAAACTTCCGATAAAATATGCTTGAAGCTGCTTTTACAAGTTGGAATTTTATCTGCAAGAACCTCATTCTAGTCTTCATTGTGACGTTGGACTGGCACCTGTTTGCGTTTAGGGTTTGGGGCAGTTTTTGTCGCCTTTAGTTTTTCGCCTTCGGTATTGTCAGCAATAGTGCTCGCGTTTCGGACTTCTTGGAGGTACCTGCTATAGTCTGTTCAGTTCCCTCCCTTTCTCGAACTTTTTTGATTTTACTACTCCTCAGCCTTAGTTGAACTTTGACGAACTTGTAGTTTACCGGATGGTCCATTTTTTTCAATTTTTCTATTGGCTGAGGGTCATCAGAAAAAGAGAATTCGAATGTGAGCCCCCTGGATTTTGTTGTTTGAGTAGGACTGACTACCGGGTATGTATGCCACTAGAATTTCGGGTTACGAATAGCCTCGTCTGTGTTTTGTGCTTAGAACTTTATTTCAGATTCTTTTTCCAGCTTTATTATCTTATCTACAATTGACTCCTGTATGGCCTTAAGGTGGTCTCTTGCCAGAACTTTTGTGGATATGATTCCTACCCTTATGTTTAGTGAGGACCTGGCTGAGGGAAGGTTTCGAGGGATTAGCTTCTGGCATTTTTGCCTTCTTTGCTTAATAGCTGTCAGGAGTATCACCGTCAGATCGGACCCTTATCTATTCTTTACTAGTAGTTTTCTCCTTGGGCTATTTTGGAATGGGCTGTTTTGCCTTTCCTGGGGTCTTTTCTTTGGAGAACTCCTTGGCGAGAAGGTACGTAAATCTTTTCCTAGCAGCGCCGGTTAGTCGGGGCCTTTGGTCCTTTACTTTCAGATCCTTGAGGGTCTTGTCGACGTCTTCATTGTTGCTTTTCAGCAGATCCTTTTCTATTTCTTGGTCAGCATTAGTATCCTTTTCCATGAGACTTGAAGAATTCTTAAAGCTCCGCGAAGGTAGTTGAAACATGGAATCCAGCTTTCGGTATTAGCGAACATCTGGCGTTCAGATGACCGTAAATCAAGTACTTTGGGTTTGTCAGACCCGTGCCTAATCAGTTGCTTGACTAAGCCCCCGAGGCTAAAAAAACAAAGAATAGGAAAATGGCAATTGAAATTGAAACATTACGATCTGAAGATAAACACATAAATAAAAATTAAAATCTCGACAATAAGAAATTCACCGAAGATAGCAGATATTGAAATACAAGAAAGGAAAATACAACAAACATAAAATAATAAAAACATAGATGAAGGAAATAAAATGGAAAGGATCAGCAGAGTCACAACGACGTTTAGAATCCTGTATAACACTTTTTTCAACAAAAAAAAATTGAGAGTGTTGAAAAATATAGAAAGGTTGACAAAAATTAACAAAATCAAAAAAAATCATGAGAATGAAAATAAGACCGCGACAGTGAAGAAGTGGAAAAACCAAGAAGAATGTGGAATAACCAAATTGCTGACAATTTAAGAAATAAAGGACTCAAATGGAAGTAAGCGAAGAATACGGTGAAAGAAGAAAAAGTTGGAACACATGTATCACCTCGACACCATTGGTAGAAGAGGTTGCACGTAAGTACTAAGAGGAACTTGGTTTTATTTCAGAGAGTCATAGGAAGAAGAGGAAAATAAAACACCTGGCCGGCGAGATATGAAAATATAAATCTGATGTTGTAGCGACAAGTAACAAAACAACTGGATGGAAGAAAAGAACAGTAAATAAGAAACAATGGAGGATAACAATTATTAATCAAACTATGGGTCTTCTAGACGCTTTGTTTTGAATTCCTTCTTATTTAATTCAATGTAATTTCATAAAATCGTCTACCCATTTGTAAAAATGATATATGTATTATCGTTGCATTGTTTTTAGGCTGTTTGTAGTTAATTATAATTTATAGTATATTTACAAACCTATAAATTTTCTTACTGCTACTGATAGTGATAACATAAAATAGTTTATGAGTAATGCGTTTCCACGATAAGTTCTTACAAATTCTCTAAATGTAAGGTCAACTCGTAATTATTGCTAAAGAACTTGAGGCTCATGTTTTTTCTATTACCTACCATTCAAAAAAGAAAAAAGTAAAATCCGTGGTTCTCCTTGATCCATAGGTTGTGTTTTGATACCTTGTTATAGTCTGATTTTGTATTAATATCTTGCAAGAAAACAGGTGAGTGAGTTAGCATTTCACAAATAACCGTCTCTAGTTGCCTTTAAAAATTTGCCTATATAAAATATGCCTTTCGTATTTTTGATATATAAACAAATGACACATTTCAATGCTTTTTAAAACTTCAATTGCATCTTTTTTCAGTTTGAAAGAAATCCCAAGACCGAGAATACTAGTCAATAACCGATTTTTTCCTTAAGCCCAATCTAGAAGCTGAAAATCTAAATGTATGAACTAGTTTTTGTTCTATGTATTTTACTCACATATTTAAATAATATGCAATATTTTCTGTTTTTATTGCTATGTTATCTTCACACAAGATAATGATATTCGTACAGGTTAAAATATTCCAGTGTCACTATCGGACAGAAACATATAAACCTGCTAAAAACAACAGTCTATGAAAAACCGCAATGTCGCAACTTTCAGGTATATTTTGTTTCCGTTTAAAAACAAAGTACTTAAAAAACATTCCAGAATTCCTAACTTGCAAACGAATTTTGGTCGTCCTCTTCTTCTTGGGTTTTATGTTACATCATATGTTAAGAATTAACATGTCAATGGCTGTAATCGACATGATCAGTAACAGGTCTAATATGACAGAAGTACAACGCTTTGACTGGAGCGAAGAACAGAAAAATGATATTTTGGGATGTTTCTGTTGGGGTTATACCGTAACATCACTTGTATCAGGCCATTTATCCGAAGTATATGGTACTCGTATTATCTTAGGTTCTGGAGTAGTTTTGGCTACAATTTGTACCCTTCTCACACCTCTTGTAGCGTCACATCTGAGTTATATTTGTTTGATATTACTAAGAGTAGGTGTAGGATTTGGATTAGGAATGCAATGGTCGTCAGTAATGCCCATAGCTACGAAATGGATACCACCAACTGATATCTCAAAATTTTTATCAACAATTTTGGGAAGTCAACTAGGTGCAGCAATAACTTTCATTGTTTGTGGATATCTGATTAAAGCATTTGGATGGCCTAGTGTCTTTTACGTTACAGGAGCCTTTAGCGCAATATGGTGTCTAGCATGGTTTTATTGTGTTTATGATTCACCAATACAACACCCAAGAATCAGCGAAGATGAACAAAAACGTTTGCTGCGAAAAGTAAAATATCAGGCAAACTCGGTTTCAGCGAAAAAACCTTGGGCGAAAATTATGACTTCGCGACCAGTTTGGGCTATCATTATAGCAATGACTTGTATAAATTTCAATACACACAGTGTTGCAAATTATATGCCTTTGTATATGAACCAGGTACTTAATTTTAATATCAGTGCTAATGGATTACTATCCAGTTTACCCTACTTTGGTGAGATTTTGTCTTGTCGTTTGACTGTTGTAAAATAGCTACTTTTCAGCAACATACTTTACCGCAGTTTTGTCAAGCTTTCTAGCAGATAAATGGAACAAAAGTGGTTATGTCTCTCTTCTTGTCGTACGACAAATCTTCACCGTAGGAGCTCTGTGGATAGCTGCTTTTTCTCTAACAGTGGAGTCGGTTTGGGGTTACAATTACGTTGTTTCTGTGGTATTTTTCACTCTTTGGCAAAGCAGTGCAGGCTATCACAGTGGTGGTTCTATTCCTAATGCGGTGGATATATCACCGAATTATTCTGGTACTATCTTCAGTTTGGGAACGAGTTTAGGCAGCCTCATGGGTTATTTATCAACAAAAATTGTAGCCCTCCTTGTCACAAATGAGGAAAATTTTCAAGAGTGGAGAATTTTTTTCTGGATTATAAGTGCAGCAAATGTGGTGGCAGCGGTGGTTTACCACATTTTTGCATCTGCCGAAGTGCAAGAATGGAACAATACATCCGTTCGTAATGAGGTGGAACAAGAATATGCCGATGCGACAGAACTGTATGCAGTTAATGCAAAACCAAATTAAAAACAAGTTTTACCCGTACAATCTCCGACTGATTTTTCCAAATATTTTGTCACCACAGTCCCCCCCCCCATTTTTGCGGCTTGAATTCGAACATTTATTTCGAGCGTAGCGTTTCCAAGACCAGCTAATTGTGATTTTGATCGTTTTGGATGCGCTTTTTTTGTGTTTGTATGTGATGTGGAGGTTTCGGTCTGAAGTAATCGGCGCGTTTTGATTTAATTAATAACTTAAAAAAACACATGACTTAATATCGTGTAAATGCAAAAAGAGCGAGATGACGTTCGTCGGTCAATTGGGGCAAGTTAGCAGAAGGGATTTTACCCCGAGTTTGTGTCATAAACCCTTTTAATTTTGTTTCGCGTTTCGGAACGAGTGGGCCTTGCGGCCTGGCGACAATTCACAGGGAGTGGGTGACGCGATCAATTATGCAACAGCTCTGTACCATCAGGATCAGTAGGGATATGTGTTGTAGCTCGAAAATTTCACAAGATAAAATAAAGATAAAACTGAGGAGAATTCTGTCACCTAGATAACAGCCATCATGATTTGGACACCCGATGTAGACTTTGGTTTTGCTCACATTTAAATTTGTTGCCACACTATCGTAGTAATTTGAGTATTAGCATCCAGTTCTTTATTTCTAACGTCTCTACTTTCTAAATTCATCTACTTAACAGTTGGATTTATTTCACAATTGTTTTTACCAGTCCAAAATTGAAGAATAAACGATTATTGTCCTCCATATTTTGTGTTTGATTTAGGGACACTTTCCATTTTTGCATTTGAACGCATTCCACCATAAAAAACACATACAACGTAGGGTTCTACTTCGTTGTCGATCACATTTCAAGGTCAAATTTTAAATTTTTTGCCGGTTTTGTATTTCTTTTTTTTTTGTCTGGAATGTGAAATATACCAGTAATTTCTACTTTTGGTGTAAATGTTCTGAGCAAAAAAAATTAATGAAATTCGCAAAAAATAAAAACCTCATCCAACAGCAAAAGCAAACCTCTTTGTGATAACAATCCAACGATGTGTGATAAAGTATTAAATAGGACAACATAAATGATTTAAACAGATATGTGACTTCTTCTTAAAAAAATAAAAATAATCTAACAATGGGTAAATCTGTTCAATCTTTTGTTGTCAAAATACTCCATTCGGATTCTCATTAACCCACTGTTACATTGATACTTGAAATTTAATGTTCGTCATTTTTCGTTCTGGAACTCAACGACGGTGATTTCTGTGTTTAAATCTGGACATAAAAAGAACTATCGGTCAATCGCTGTATTGTCATATATTTGAACCAATTTTTGTCCATAATCACATGTGAATTTATTCAGTTTACTATTAGTGAAATCTTGTAATATTTTATTTCAAATGGTGTAATGCAGGGATTAACTTCAGGGGCAATTTTGTTTATAATATTCTTTAACATTGTCTTTATTTTTTTTTGTAATTGTGTTTATGGTTTTGCTAATGTTTTCTTTTTCATTGTGTAGGTACACGGAATATAAAAATGCTAAAATAAAATTCTGTTTATTAATTTAATTATATATTTATTTATTTTTAATTAAAAAAAGCGTAATGAATTTCTACACGGTTTCTGAACAATTGGTGGAAAAATACTAGGATATTTAAACAATACCGATTTTATCCAGTTCGTAGACAATCAGGCATCCAATTAATGATATATCTGTTTCAGACATCAAATTCCACTAATCTAGAAAACTATTATCACGGTGAAAATTAATTACTTCCACACAGAAGAACTGGAATTATAGCAATTTATTTTATTGCGGCGTAACTTTATTGTACAGATTATGGGACATGCATTAATATTACGTATTTGTTTATTTTACCGAATGAACATTATTCTATATGTATAAACCTAAATATGTCAGACTTTATAGAATGCGATTACTTAAAGATAAAATTCCCTACTATAAAACTATTATCACAAGATACAGGTATTGCTTATAAGTAGCCCACAATTAAGACTTTACTAAAACGTACACCCAGACACTATTTCCATATCTGAAAAATGAACTTGCTTCCTAAAACGCTGTATTTTACAGCACTGTTCTGTTTAGCTACAGTCAGTGCTAAACCTGGTAAGAAAACGCACTTAAATATTATAATACCGACATTGTTTTTTTTTACACTAGGAGCTCGTATCATTGGAGGAGATAATGCTCCAGCAGGTCGGTTTCCTTTTGCTGCTGCAATTTACGTTCAAACAGGAAATAGCAGATTCTTCTGTGGTGGTGCTCTTCTAAATCATCAATGGGTAATTACATCCGGACATTGTGCAGATGGGTAAGTTCCTAGCAACAATTTCCGACCAAATCTATCTCAAATTCTAGTGGTGAGCTCTTCACCATCCAGCTAGGGTCAAACACTCTAAGCTCTTCTGATCCTGAACGACACACTGTGGCAACTTCCGAGTATATCTTGCATCCAGATTTTGATCCAGAAAAAATCCAGAATGATTTAGCTTTGATAAGGCTCAGGGCTCCTATTACTTATAACGGTACGACGATTATTAATTATTTGTATTTCAAAGAAAGAACTGATTGATTTTTGTAGCTTATATTCAACCAATTGCTCTACCTATCGTAAGTCTCTTGAACGAAACTTCAGTCACAGCAATCGGATGGGGACAAGTTAGTGATTGTAAGTTTGAAAGCACCAAAAACGTACTTTCTTTATAGTTGTGCTTTTAGACAGTCCTGATCTTTCTGAACATCTGCAGTTCGTAGAAGCAACCATTTTGTCAAACGCTGCATGTCAGGTAGTTTATGGAACTCAAATTACGGACGCTATGGCTTGTGTTGAGGGTGGTTACAATGAAGGAACTTGTAATGTGAGTAAGAATTAATGGGATAAGGATATATGGGTGATTAATTATTTTCATAGGGTGATAATGGTGGTCCACTAATCGAATATGTTCATCGCCAATACTGGATTGTAGGTGTTGCAAGTTTTATCAGCGGAAATGGGTGTGAAAGCACTGATCCGTCTGGATACACGAGAACTTATCCTTATTTGAGTTGGATTAATAGCGTGATTAGCGCCTAAGTAATTGAATAAAAAATTTTAAAGTTTCAAGGTGTTTACTCTTAATCCTTATTTACATCAACCAGTTGAACTTAAAAATTTCTACACTAATTAAATTATTTATATCAGCTTTTTTCTCAATCCTATTAAACTTGATGTGTAGTTTTACATTGTTGAAATCGAACAGTTAGAGAAAGAGATAAGCGAGAACGGAAAATTTAAGACAGTAAACTAAACTCGTTTTTTTCCGCTGTTATCCAAGTGATAACCATGTACCGGATATACTCGGTAATAAAACCCAATACAGGTACAATTGACATTTGAACCCTCATAAAGTCAATTAGAAGATATGAAGTATTAAAGAGTTATAGCTAGTTTTGTATATCACATTTGTCCATTGATATTACATACTAATATTCCAAAAAATGCTTGTCTTTTTATTGTTAAGTGCATTGTGTTTTTACATAACTGAAGGTAGAACAGGTAATTTTTTTTTCTTATTAGTACCACAATAGACACAATTCTTAAAAATTAAAAGTAGCACCTCGGATCATCGGAGGAGAAGATGCTCCAGCTGGCCATTTTCTCTTTGTTGCTGCACTAAATGTCCAGACCGGAGACAGCAAATTCTTCTGTGGCGGTGCTTTGTTGAACTCACAATGGATTGTAACTTCTGGACACTGTGCTTATAAGTATAAAATCTACATTGTGGTCTACATTTTAAAAATTTGAAATTTATCTAGCGCGGAACTTTTTACCATCCATCTTGGATCAATGACACTGACTACTGCAGACCCAAATCGTGAAGTTCTTTCGACATCAGAGTATGTTTTGCATCCAGATTTTGATCCCGAGGCCATGTTAAATGATATCGCGTTAATTAAGCTTCGACTGGCCATTAGATTCAATAGTGAGTATAAATGAAAGCATATAATAGGAATAAATGGCAGGATTTAAAATTTTCTGTTGCGAATGTGGCGGATTTATTTTTCGTAAATATCATTTTAAGCGTACAAAAAGTTGCAATCATCAATATGTTAAAAAGACTGCAAAATAATGATTAATCTTTTTGTGGTACTAATTAATTTTGTTTTTATTTCAAGATTATATTGCGCCTATAAGCTTGCCCTCAACAAATCTGTCGGATTCTGTACAAGTGACAGCAGTTGGATGGGGTCAAACCAGTGACAGTAAGTATATATGTTGAGTCATTTACATAGAACAACTGTCCCATGTCTGTCCCAAGCAGTTGTACCTTTTCTTAATTTCTTCTTTATTTACCTTTACCAGTTATATCAAAAAAGTTCCATTAAATGGATTTGATACCAACATTGATATCAATATTTCAAGATTTTTGATAGTTCCGTATCAAAAAATTATTGATTTATTCCCAAATAATGTAAACACATTACGTGGAAGTCTGTCATGCGTTGTTGATCTTTTGAGTCTTCGACTTCGTTCAAATAAATAAAAAATTGTTCGTTACATTTCTCCTTCTTAAACAATTCATTTGAAATTGATACTTCAAGATTTTTAATGTCAACCTGAATGAAGATTTTAACATTTATTTCTTGAATTTTTAATCAATATTATCAGATTACTTATATAATTTCAAAGAAAAATTAAGAAGCATTTCGTTTTAAACATGTAAAGAATTTCTTTATCTTTAGTTTTTAATACTTCCCGAGCGTAAACTAAGGAAGTATTGTAATAGGGTCCTGACGACCGGTTACTTTCATGTTTTCAATTAATTCGATGTACCAGAAACCTGTATAAAATTATATGTTATATAAAAAATTGGTCGAAAGTAATCCAGTATTTTCGAGTCGAGTTTTTTCTTTATACAGTTTTGGATTAGTGCAGTGTAATGCTAAATATAACAGTATTGTATACCCAAAATTCTGGGAAAATTCATCAATTTTTTTGAGCCACCTGTTCGAACAAATCTAAAAAATATGAATGCAGTAATAAATCACAAGTAAAAACTCATCATATTTTGCACATTTTGGATAAAATTTATTCGGCAAAATTTTGAGATGACGTGATCAATTTTTTGGGGGAAATAAAGGAATAGATTTTTTTGATTAACAATTTACCACGCCTTCAACAACTTTAAAACGTCTGCAAGATTTCGAAGTATTCAGTTTTGCAATTCTTGATTTATTCAATAAAATAAATCTACTGATTTATTAATTTTTTTAGTGACCCTGTAGAAGTAAATATAAAAAATGAAGTTCTTAATTTGATTAATAAAAAATTGGTCGAAGGCTATAAGTATAATAATCCGACAAATCCAGCTGTTTAAAAAATATATAAAATTTTACTTTACGCTTTTCGTTTTATGATAACCGCTGTAAAGTAAAAACCAGAGGCATAAATAACACCCTTTGTCCTTCAGCAGTAGGTAATAGCAATCTGAAGCTCAAGTGTTCATTTATTTTTATACATCGAAAGAATGTCACGTAGAAGTTAGTTTGATTTGAAAGAGTTTGTCTTCTCAAAACAGTACTAAAATTATTAATTAAACCACAATCGAATAAGGTGTTGTAAATATTATAATTCTTATTTTATCATTATTATATAATCATGGACTGGCGACTGAATTGGAAGAAGCATGTAGATGATAAAGTAGAAAAGGCACGCTCGGCTCTTTGGCAATGTCGTAGGGTGGTGGGAAGGTCGTGGGGTTTAAATCCCAAGATCGCCCTCTGGATCTACACGGCAATAGTCAGACCGATGCTGTGCTATGGAGCTTTAGTTTGGTGGCCCAGAGCCAGACAAAAAACAACAGCCCTGCAACTTGAACACGTTCAGAGAATGGCGTGTCTCAGTGTTACAGGAGCAATGAGGACCACTCCCACAGCGGCTCTGGAGACTCTTCTTTGCTTAGCACCTCTTAACCTTTACATAGAGGAAGCGGCAATGACGACGTCTCTAAGACTTCACTCTCTGGGAGTATGGAACAAGCAAGGCCGCACAACGAAGCACACTCGGATCTTAACGGAGGCGTTCAACAGAATACCCTTGTTAAGGATGGGGTGTGACCGAATGGGCACAAAATTAATATATGAGAAGGCATATAGAATATCAATGAATGATAATTCAGAAGGACGAGCCGACATAGAAATCTATGTCGATGGTGCCAAAACAGATAGTGGTTCAGGAGCCGGCATCTACTCCGAACAACTGAACGCACAAATCAGTGTACCTCTCGGCACCCACACGTCTGTCTTACAAACAGAACTGATGGGAATAATGCTGGGAGCTAGAATCATTGCTGAACGTGAAATCGGCAACAAATCAATACGCATACTTACTGACAGCAAGTCTGCACTACTAGCCCTGGACAGCTGTATGGTTCGATCCGGGCTGGTTTGGGAGTGCAGACAAACGCTAAAGTATGTAACGCAGAGGAACAGTGTGGAACTTTGTTGGATCAAAGGACACAGTGGCAACGAAGGAAACGAGAGGGCAGATGAGATGGCGAAGCGAGCCGCGCGCATGCCCTTCTGGGGACCCGAACCGGCAATCACGCCTTCGGTCGCCCTCTCGAACGAACTCGTAAAGCAATATACCCAGAGACGCCATGAGCAGATGTGGGTGAAATTGAGCAGCTGTCGGCATAGTAGAGCTTGTATGGCGACACCAGACCGTAAGTTGACGAAATTTTATCTCTCACTTTCAAGGGACAAACTGCGTAAACTGGTAGGATTCCTTACGGGACATTACCAGTTTAACAAACATCTACATACGATAGGGGTGGTAACAGACCCGATCTGTCGTGGATGCAATGAAGAAGAGGAAACAGCTGAGCACATTCTTCGTGAGTGTCCAGCCCTAGCCTCCTACAGGGAATCCATACTAGGGGACATCTGGCCTAGTATGGCAAATATCAGGGAGTTTCCACCCTCTGCATTACTCAAGTACATTCAAGCAGTTGGGTGGCTTGACGAGTAGAGGAGCGGGAAAACACCCTGATATGGACTTGGGGAAGGTACAATGGGCCCAAAGGCGAGGCCTAAGTGCCGGCTGGCTACGGTCAGCCCCCATAATTTAAGAATCCAGAATCCAGAATCATGTGCGTATTCTTCACATTGATAATAATTGTAGTCACAGCATAAAAGTAAAGTAGTCACAGCGTTATACAAATGCAAGAAAAAAAAAAGTCAAGCACCCCAGGTTGCCATTATCTCCGACACACTTACTGTGCCAGGGAGACGTTCAAAGCTGTCGGGAATAAAGCGTTATTATACCTTGCAAATGTTTTTGCGAAGTTTAGCGAAAAAACTGAAAGTGGATTCGTAAACCAGAATTATATGAGTATATTTTTGTGTAACATTCAAATCATTTTAGAATACCATTCACTGAAATGACGTCATCAAATTGTTAACTATCTACATGATATTTCTAATATACATACAAAATTTGACAACAATCGGTCCAACAGCTTCGGAGATTATGTGTCTAATAAAAATGGATACAGACAGATAGACAGACAGACGGAAACGAGAGACTACTTTTTTGGTACTGTAGGGGTCATGAAACGTCGACAAAACATAAAAGTGGCTATTCGTCCGATGGGGTCGATTACAATACTTCCTTCGCTTACGCCCGGGAAGTAATAACAGAAATATTACTATGGATCATATTACTGGGACGAATTAGGAACAAAGCATAAATTATAAAAAAACTTATTGGTGTTCATTTGTATTACTTTTACTTTCCGATTGTAAGGTAAGCAAGTATTCCAATAGTTTCTACCCAAAGTAATATTGAGACAGTTTTGTCCCATTTTAGCTTAAGTAATTAATTAATTAGTCCTCTTTCCTGTTTTGAGGAGACAAAATGTTGTTATCCGAACGTGTCCACTTCTTTAGAAGTATAAACATAAACAGTCGAAGTTAAACATGTACTGAAAAGTTGAGAACATATTTTTTCGTTGGGATTATCGTTTCGATCTGTCTGTCGTGTGTCCGTCGTCTGTATCGATATTTATTATATATTGTAGATAGAATTTTTTTGATCACTCAGTGTACCATAATAATGTAACGTTTGTCCCCACAACACCGAAACCGCACAAAATTGCACGTTGGCATTATCTAGACAAAGCTAAACTAAGGAGTTTAGATTCTAGATAATGCAACATGGTTGGTGAAATGCGTCTGCAAATATTTTGTGTGTTTTTGGTGTTGTGGGAATAAACGTTATATGATCATGTAGATGGTTAATCAAAATTGATTTGATCGTCCCCTCCACTATTGTAATGGCGTCACCTCACAATTTTTCCGAGTGAATGTCACTTAAATTTCATTATTCTTATAGTCAATGAGTCCGCCTTTATTTTTCAACCTAATCAATTAGAGTTTTAAAATTTTATGTTGACAGTGTTTACGATCGACGCCGGAATTTATACAGGGTGAGTCACTAAACACGGGATCCTCGATATTTCATTAATTATTATTAGAGATAGGAAAAAAGTGAAACAGCAGAGTTCTACGGTTACTTGAGGACTATACTCCAAAATTATTTTTAACTATACAGAGCGTTCTGTTTTTAAAGCCTAACACGTAAATTAGCTTTTTTAAATGAAATAGCCTATACAGGCCATAGGGATTTACGTGTAAAATTTTGGGTTGTATTAAAGAGTTTTCTGGCAAGGATTTTCAAGTGAAAGTTGACAGAAAAATTTTGCCACGTAAATTCCTATGGCCACCGTTAAAAAAAGGCACTGTATATTTTTACATATTCTAATTAGCCTCTTCCTAGGCTTTATAACTATACGTTAGTGAAATATAAGGGAAATGTGTCCGTGCTGACTCACTAAGTTCCAATATTATCATTTTAACTATAGTTTATTTTATTTTTGAAATTCCAACGCGACGTTGCCAAGTTATTTCCAATTTTTTTGAATTTTTTTGGCAAGAGAAGGATTCAAAAAAATCGCATTAGTGTTACTTGTGCTGTATTGTGTTACGCTTTCTTGTGGTATCAATTTAAAAATTCAAATTTTAATATATAAAGTATTTACAAAAAAATCTACAAGTTTTTCAAATCGAACACCCTATATTTTATTACTGTATCTTTCTCTATTTTTCGTTCTCATGCTTCTAATATTCGATGTAAAAAATCCGTAAAAAATCCTAGTAACTATCAACTTTAAATATAAAAATACAATTAGTTTTCTCGAGGGCTTTCTAGTATGTACGATTATGGGTAACTCATCGTTGGTGACGGTGACCGCACGATGTTCGTTAAAGAAAAGCCTGGAATCAGAAGTCGCGATGGATATTCCAGAAAAACCTCGATCGCCGAATATCTAGAAAGGAAGTATGGGTTTAAATAGAGGCCACTTTCGGGAACAATTCAATTCAGTCAAGACATTCAACTTGCGCCGGAATTGTTTTGTCCATAATGGCTGTGTAATTAGTCGTGTAAATTTGAATTACTGAGAAATAAATTGTTGAGTTTTATGCACGCCGATTTTAGTTACGAACAAAGTAATAATACTTAACAAAAAAGAAGGAAGACAAAAAAATGCAATAAGTTCCAGTGTTAAAATATATGGCGTTTTGTTTGAAATACGTGAAATATTGATATTAGAAAATTGTAGTAACTTTAATTATCGCTCAACAAAATATTGTAACAAAGTCCTATTGCGATTTTTTGTGAGCCGGAATTTCAAAGATAAACTGTGGTTGTAAACACAAAGAAGAAGTCAATCAAAATATCTAAAAATATATAGCATGTTCTATTTAAAAATATGAAGCAACCAGTCGCCCGATGGTTCGATTACAATACTTCCTTAGCTTACGCTCGGAAAGTAAAAACTAAATTGTGTTACGTCTTGAAAACATAACATTCTATGAAAGTGAAAATAATTTTAGATTAAGTCTAGAACGATAAAACTTTGGAGTTTTTTGTTTACAAATTTTAATAATTAATGAGACTCCTAATTTATAAAAGAAGAACGGCATACTTTTTATATACTGAACAAAATTTCGTAATGAAAAAACTCACTTGAAATGTACTTATAGCATCCTTCGGTAGCTTTATTTCAATAGTTCGCACATATAGGGACCCTTATAAAAATAATAATAAAATCACAAAATAATATATGTAAAAAATCATATTTGATTTGAAATTGAGAAGAGTAGCATCAAGTTAGATTTCGCCTTGTTTTGTATAAAGTGTGGCACTTTATAATAAACTTTTAGGTAATGCTGGACTTTCGGAACACCTTCAAATGGTTGGAACGGTAACCCTATCTAACACGGAATGTAAATTAACATACGGAAACCAAATCACAGACAATATGGTGTGCGTCGAAGGAAATTATAACGAAGGAACCTGCACAGTAAGTAATCAATTATGTATACAATGTTGTAAAAAACATATCAATTTAAGGGAGACACCGGTAGTCCTTTGATTGAGTATTTCGGACGAGGTTATTCAATCGTTGGTGTGGCGAGCTTCATGAGTGGAAACGGATGTGAAAGCACCGATCCTTCAGGATACACAAGAATACATCCTTACTCAGACTGGATTAAAAGCGTCATAAACAGTTAACGCATTATTTCATATTTAATAATAGTACAAATATGTATTGTTATAGTATGAAAGGAAAACGAAAATAAACAAATTTTAATTCTGGAAAGACAGTTTATTATTGTACCTTTAAAATTCGTACATGCACACCACCCACTACATTTAGTGCTATTGTAGTAGTACTTGGATCCACAACGAGATGTCGTGGTGTCTTCGGGCTCGGAAAAAAATTAAAATTGTTTAAAAGCGTAGCCAGACCGAGTTTGCTTTGCATATAACCAAATCTTAAACCTTCAAACAATTTTCGTCATAAAAGCCAATCAAAAAAATGTGCTTACCGATACAGTTTCTGGGACCACCTCCAAATGGTAGGTACGTGTAAGGTGTGATCTTATTGTCACTACTAAATCGTTCAGGATCAAACTTTAAAGGATTTGGGTAGTAATCTGGATCTCGTTGAAGTCCTAGTAGTGGAACTATGACCGGAGTACCTTCTTCGATTACGATGTCAGTACCAGGAATCTGGTAGTCTTTAACACAAATACGATTGAGCATTGCTGCTGGGGGGTACTTTCTCAAAGTTTCTGCAACTCGATTAATGAAAACACAATAATTACAATAAAACTGATGAACCTTTCACCATTTTATCCAGGCACGGTAAATTCATAATGTCTTCATAAGTATACTTGGTACTATCTTCCCCCAAATTTTTTTGAATTTCAGCTCTTATTCGGTCTTGTAGATTTTCATTATGTGCTAGTTCGTGAATGCAGTAGCTCATGGTCAACGAAGAAGTTTCAAACCCGGCAGTAAAAAACAAAAACGACTGAGCCACAATTTCTGTGAAAGACATCCCTTCAGAATCTCTCAGTTGTATGAGAATATTCAGAAAATCGTCTCTCGTCACTTTGTTCTTGTCGCGATAATCAACGGTGTCTTTCACCAAGTTCGTAAAGTACTTTTCCACAGTTTTATCGCTGTGGGAAATTTTGATAATGTTTCCCGGATTTTGTAGCCCTTCTTCGAAAGCAACTTTCAGCAATTTCCAGCTGGAGTGACTGAAGATTTTTTCGACCATGCGCACGAACTCAGTGTCTGGATTATCCAGACTGTTGCAGTCGATTCCAAATGAAGTTGATCCTACGATATCACACGTGAATCTCCTACACAAGTCTTTAACGTCAACTTCACACCCATTTAACGGTTGGAGTAACTTAACTAAGTTGTCGCTGTACTTTACCACGATGTTGTACATACTCTTCATTTTTCCAGATGTGAAAGTTGGTGACATTTTCGTTCTTATGTTTTTCCATTGGTCACCCTTCATGGAGAAAATGTGTGAACTTAGTGGTAGTTTTTCCGAATTTTCGTACATCCCTCTGTCAACGAAGTGGTCAAAGTCGGAGACTAAGACATTTTTTACCATATCTGGGTGAACTGGTATGTAAATAGGACCGTTGAAGAAGTAAACACCACCGTGTTTGTGACCTTGTGATTTCAATTCGTTGTAGATGTCCTGTAGACGAACGAAAATGCTGTGTTTCCCCCAAGCTGCTAATGACAGGTCACCAACAGGGAATTTAGGGTTGAGACTTGGCAGACCTTTTTTCTTCCAGTAGGTGAAACATCGTTGGTAATATAAATAATAGATGAATACTGCGGTACTAATAAACACTAGTGCTAGTTCAGAAAATAACAAAAGAGGGTTTAACAAAGAAACCATCTTGACGATGGGTTTAGGAAAGTGGAACTGAGTAAAAGTGAAGACTCACGATGATTGTTTAATAATGACAGTGCTGAATTAACTTTAATAAAAATATCATCAAATAACCGACTTGTTTTGAACTTTTATGTAAAAAAAAATGTAATTATATTATGGTGATTCAGCTTTCATGCGTTTACGTTTTAAATTTTGTAATAACAAATAAAGATTAATGTTGAGTGTATAGGCTGCTTAACAAAATTTTAGATGTGGAACGTTTAATAATTAAAATTTGTTTTAAAGTTTTGGAAAAAATTTTCTTTCGATTGCCAGATTTGACAAAAATTTTGTGTTCGATTTGTATGTTAGTTGTGGCCTTCACGGAATATTTTTATATAAATTACTGTACTCATTTTAAGTCGACTGATGTTAATGCTTGGTATCAAATAAAGGTCAAGTTTAATAGCTGTTATTTGAACCCTTGACACATATTGATTTAATTACATTTTTTGATGTACTCTAGATGATAATAAAACCTTATTTATACTCAATATAAATGATAAAAGTAATATAACGTTATTCCTCAAAACACCGAAAATATAGCAAAAATGTAGACGCGTTTCGCCAACCACGTTGGCAGAGTCTAGCTAGACAAAACTTAACATGGTTTGTTCCTCTTTGTAAATTTGTTTATTGTGTTTCCTATTTTTTGACGAAATCTTCCATTATTTTGAACCTAGCGTTAGTTTACATATAATACAACAACAAAAATATTCGCTTGTTCTTTCTGGTTTTTATCAGTGGAGTTTTCTCTAATTTCGGTCTTTTTGTCCTTTAGGTTCAGCTTGTAACATTCTTCTAAATTCCTTCAGCTGTTTGTACTTTAAGCCTCCTAAGGGGCCGGTTGCTCTGGCGCCATCTTCCTGGGCCTTAGAGATAATAAGGAAAATGGCAACTCTAAAGGAAAAAAGGTCTGACGCCAGTTGACGGCTGTCCAAGGGCCTTCCCTGGTGACGGTTCCAATCTGGACGGTACTGCTTCGGTCCCTGGAGAAGCGGCGACGCTAAAATGGGCACAGAGATACTAAATTAATAAGAAATGTCAAGAATAAAAATCTTCAACTGAAATAGTTCCTCTAATAGATAGACAACTGTCAGAAACCATGACTATAATTTCAATTTGTCCACGTTTTAATGCCAACAATTTCTATCACTAGTCATTTCAATACCTACGTATACGATTAGATTATCAGTTGATAAGAAAAATTTTTGTAGTTCGCACACTACGTCAACAAATTTCTAATTATATAGCTTCCGTTCATTTACAAATCTCTCAATTAAATTTTATGACTTTCAGAATTGAGGGTTTAATCCACAAGCAGTATACTTTTGATCATTCTTAGAATAATTGCAAGGTACAAAGTAAACAATTTTTTTTTCAATAAAATGTATTTCAAGTGTACTCGTAACATATGGTTGCCATTTTTATTCATTTTCACCATTTTCAACACTAAGGTAAATTAATTTTATAATTTGGCCCAGGATTAAAATATTATTTCAGATCATTGGAAAGGGTACCAACAACATATACAAATTTAGTGCCATAATAATCTATAATTTACTCATTTAGAAGTTAGAATCATCGGCGGAAATGAATCCTTCGTCGGAGATTATCCATTCGCTGCAGCCATATATGTAGAAACCGAAGACGGCAAATACTTCTGTGGAGGGTCCATCTATAACCAAAACTGGGCCATCACTTCGGGGAATTGCGTTTATAAGTACCTTCATTTAGACAAAAAGTGTTAAAAAAATTTATTTCACTAAATTTAGGGCCGTCCTCTTTACCATCCAGGTTGGGTCTGTTCATTTAGAAGGTCACGATCCCAATCGTCAAACTGTAGCAACTTCTGAATATGTTATTCACCCGGATTTTAATCCTGACACTATGGAAAATGACATAGGTCTTATAAGATTCCGAATGCCTATAACATACACCCGTAAGTTAAGACTCTATTATCGACTAACTATATTGTTGCGCATTTTGCTTATTTCAGAATATGTGCAACCAGTTTATTTGCCTTTTAGAGTCATAGGGGATGGTGAAAGTGCAATTTCAATTGGATGGGGTCAAACCAGTGACAGTATTTAACAAAATATGTGTAATAACATTTCTTCCCTTCTAAGTTTGTTTTTAGGTGACGCAGAATTTTCAACCACACTTAAATACGTTTCTGTTGTCAGTTTGTCAAATCAAGAATGTAAAATAACTTACGGTAATCAGATTACTGATAACATGGTATGTGCTGCAGGAAATTACAATGAAGGTACTTGTGTGGTGAGTCTTATTTTGTTGTTGTTGTCTTTGTTGCAGTATTAGTAATGATGATTCTTGAAGGGTGACAATGGAAGTCCCTTGCTTGAGTTCTATATGTACCGGTTTCACTACATTGTCGGTATTGCCAGTTTTATTAGTGGAAATGGTTGTGAAAGTACTGATCCTTCGGGATATACAAGAGTATTTCCTTATGTCGACTGGATTAGAAATGTTACTAGCGCTTAATGTAGGCAACATGTATTTTCAATAAATCAGTTTTAATTCAGAATTTTAGTACAATTTTTTGATTCTTCATAAGTTATGTAATTTCAGTGTAAGGGAAAAATGGTCCAACGCTAAACTTAATTTTAGACAACCTTAACAGAAAAAGACCGATGGACCTTGGATTAATCTGATTTTCAAAAAAAACATAAAAACTATGAATGTTAATCAAAACTATTTTATGGAGCCATAAAAGCACATACTTTATTTCAGAAAATTTGAAATGAGGACAAAACCTAGTACCTTACTCTAGCTGACGTTTCCCTTAAAGGACTACTGGTATAAAAGGTTGCTACGCTACACAATGCGAAAATTTGTATGCTTCGGGGAAAATCTTAAGACAATTCATAAACTACAAATACAGGAGTATGTTATTTTATAAAACTGAAAGCCTACTTACTATGAAACATTTTTATGAGACGTAATCACATTGCTATTGGGGGTGATTAGGCAAATTTTGGTTAGCATTTTATCATCTACAGCATCTTCCTAGCATATATATAAAATTTGACAATAAACGATTTGATAGATTCGAATATTATCGGTCTATTAAGAATTGACACAGACGGCAGACGGCAGATGGCAGATAGACAGACGGAAGCGGGAGATCTATTTTTTCGTATTCTTAGGGTCATGAAACCTCGAGAAAATATGAAAGCCAGTCGCTCGATCAGGAAGCACAAAAGGGAAAAAATTCCATGTCATTATAGATTTATTTGTAAATGTTTTAATGAGATTTTAATTTAATATTATCGAATTTCTAACTATATGTCTTTCTGATGAGTACAAAAGACGATTTAAAAGACAGAAGTGACAGAAGAGATAAACTTGCAGATAACGAAATGAGAAGGGAAAACACAGAAGAGCTAATAATAGAATGGGGCGGAAGAAAAAAAAACGAAATTTGCAAAAAGGAAATAAGAAACTAGGAGTATTGTTATTGAAGAACTTGAGAAGATCTCAATTAGGATCAAGAAAAGCATTAGTGTAAAACCGTGATTAAGCCCGCAATTGTATACTGAAGTAAGACATGGATTTTTTCTCTCAGACAGGAACAAAAATTAGAGATCCAAAAGAGAAAAATATTGAGAGGAATCTAAAGAAAAACGAGAAAGATTTGTGGGTCAGAAGAATGAATCAAGAACTGTGTGGGAGCCAAAAATTACAAAGGAAATCAGAGCAGCAAGAATCAAATATTTGGAACACTTGGAAAAATGGGGAAACAAAAAACACCGATGCAAATGATGGTTTGATGAAGCGTTAAAGGATTTTACGAAAAAGGGTATACATTCAGAATCGGAAAAAGAAGGCCAGAGTGTGTAAAGAATAAACACATAAATTAATAAAATAAATAGATAAAAACAGAAATTATTATGAATTTTTGTTTCACAAAATATAACTGTTTTACAGGATATATTTTTTTGATTTTATGTATTCAACGAATGTTTAAAACTTGTTTATTTGAACTAATAGAGAGGTCAAGTCAAGTCAAGTCAGGTCAGGTCAGGTCAGTTCAGCTCAGGAATTTTAGTTTTTTTATATCACTTTTGGTTCAGATTTTAGACAGCCTCTGCAGACCTGATATGTTTTCCGAAAAGAAATCCTTTTCATTAATAAATATTTTTGGTATTTTTGTTTACTTACGTAGATTTTTTGATCTTGGGTTGTTTTGACGAAGTTATTTTGTCACGAAATTTGTCGTTAGCTTTTTTGTCATGGCTATTTTGTCCGGACGATTTTGCCTGACCGATTGTGAACCAAATTTACAATGATTTCATTATTCAGCAGCAAAAGGAGTTCTCTGCCTTCATTGTAGAAATTTGGAAGCCATACTTCCAAATTTTGAAAGCGGTTTTGTATGAAAAATGTTGTTCTGAAACATCTTTCTTCTATATTCTGTCAGTTTTCGTTGCATTCTAAAAGAAGTAATGAAAATTCCATCCAAACATTTGGGGGGGGGGGCTAAATTTAACTTTATCCTACAGAAGCAAGTAATAGGCCCGCCCGCCCACCCTCTTTTCATTCTTGTGGCTACTCTTAATACTGTTAATTAATAACAAAATCATTATTTTATTAGAATCTTAGGAAAATTCGTTAAGCCATTGATAAGAAAATGGATAAATTGGTAAACAAAATATTCAGTAATTATTAAACTATAATTATAAAATAATAAATCGAGTGATTAAAATGGAATCAGAGTGGGTGGGCGGGGCCACTTTCGTCTTTGTTTTAAATCATAAATTCTCAATTCCCATTTTACAGTATATAAAATAAGGCAGTAAAATAGCGAAAGAAGGTGGGTGGGGCTAAATTTAGTTTGTTTCTACAGTCTTATAAGTAAGAAGTAATTTCGCCCATCCATCCCGTCTTTATTCTAGAAACTACTCCTAATTTTGTTCAGTCTTATCTTAGCGAATACTATTTTATTAGAAGGTATATCATTTGCCAAAATCAATCTTATCTTAGCGGAAATTAAGCCCCGCCCACCTACCCTTGAATTTCTTGGAGACTATGTGATTTGCCAAAATCAATCTTATTTTAACAAATAAGTATTAGCTTTTTATTCGATGCTATTTTATTCGATCCGAGTATCAAATAACACACCAGAGATGGAAAACAATCAAAATGTTTGTCAATTTAAATAAAAACAACACAGTTTAGACAATTTAGGTGGTTCTATCTAGTTTACTTGCATTTGGAAAGTTTAAACCTACAATTCCATCATGGTTTGTTAAGATGCATTTCTTAACTGAAAATGTACACAGGAAAATACGATATGACTTTTTCTGTATTGCTAAAAAAGTTGATTTAAGGTATTAGACAGCACTTTCTTCGCCCCTAAAGTGCAGTTCAACATCTCTAGCTTTTTCGAAACACTATAAAATTTTATTTTGTAATTTTTTATAGCCCCTGTATGTTAATTAGTTAAAAGAAGAGTATGTGTGGACAGTTAAAATACAGATAAAGAAGCGTACTATACTTATGTTTCAAGGGAGTTTTTTCACAACAAAGTTTGGTGATGTGGTCCTCAACACTTTAGCGAGGACACCTCTATTAATTTAAACAGATAGAGTGTAATGTTAATATTAACAGTATTGTTTCCTCAAGAAGCCATTATCTGAAAAATTTAATAGTTAAACAGCCTTAACCTTATTTTCGCATCTCTCCTATGACAAAGTAAATATATGCACAATAACGATGTCCTATTTTTTACCACTTTATTTATATTGCTAAAATTGAATTAAAAGTACTGCGTTCAAAATTTACAAAGTTCGGCGTCCATCGTTTATAAAGTATGGCACAAAAATCTGTATACAGGGTGATTTTTTTAACCTGAAACTTTCAAATATTTTGAAAAATATGCATTCTACGAAAAAATATTTAGACTCAAAATTTCACCATTCCGTGGGGGAAATATACTAGTGGTAAAATTAGTCCCCCTGTCATATTCCTTGGAAGTGGGGCGGGGGTTAACTTGGAAATTTTAAATAGGAACCCCTACTTTTTAATGCAGATTCGGATTTTACGACTAAAAATTTACGTAAAATTTGTCTGAAACATTTTTTTCGATTCATGATAGATGGTGCTGTAATAGAGGCAATTAAATTTTTTCCATTTCTCCTACTACGAACCTATGCATACGCTTCTGAACTACATTTGCAAAACAAATACCACGTTTTATGTAAATACTTGAAACTCGTCGTCAAAAAAGTGTATTCATTGTGCAAATTTCGAATAATGGGGCAATTGTTACCTGTAGAAATGTAAATGACTGTTTTACATGTTCATTTTGTTTTATTTCTTATTGTATTGTTTTTGCAATTACAAAAAAACAAAAGAAAAGAAATAACACAAACATTAAATGTAAACAACACTCGTCCCTGAATTGCGATAGGTACACTTAAAACCAGAGCACTTAAAAAAAGATCAAAAAAGAGCTATGTATTTTTAAAAATTTGTTTTTATAGTATTTTCATCTCGTCAGATTGCAGTCAATTTTAAAGTTTGAGTTGAAAACGCAACAAATGGTTAAAAAAAAATTCCTACGTTTATATGAAATTGAATTATGATTGGTTGTTAATGCATTTTTAAGCATTGAAAACGATATTTCGAGAACTAATTGTTCGAGCAAGCTGAAAAAATGAAACCAAATTACCATATTTCAGAAAAATTGTTTCATTAAAAAATCATTACTGTTTTAATTTTTTATAATCTGAATTACAGAAATTTCAGATTAGTGTACAAATTTAGCTTTTTTATTTATTACTGAGTAGTTGGTCCTTCCAGATTTTTTAATTCGTCAAATTGTCCATCAGTTTTCTCAAACGATGTAAACAATTCACATATGTACACATAATGTTTATAAAAAATATTTTGAAACTTCTCAATGTTTATTATCTCGTCTGACAACTTTGACACACATATTTTTGAAAACTATGTACTAACCCTTTAACATTCAGAAATTGTTTTAGAAAAGGGTGAACAGATAACTTCTGCACCATATAAACTGCAACTGGAAGAAAGTTTAAGAAAAGGGAAAAGTTGTTTCAGGATAAAAAATTGTGTGCAGTCAGTAGTAAAACAAAGGGACAAAAGATAGAAGTTAAACAGTCAAGGACTACAAAGACAACAATACTAGATATAAAGACCTTAATCGACATTTTGTAAATTACGTTTCTTCAAATTTAGTCACTTCCTGTTATTTAAAACTATCAATTCTCAGCGGTTTAAAGCTGTCAATAAAGTTTTATACCTTAGTATTAGGGGACTTTCCTCTATCGATTTTCTAATCTACATTTTTATTTAAAAGCAAATATTAACACATGATAAAATATAGTGTTAAAAAGAAAGAAACGAAAAATAATCGTTTGCATACTGCGATTTTCATACAGCTAATTATTTTCATGGGAAAATTAACTGATTTATTATAAAATAAGTATAAACCTACCGCAAACGTCATATCAATTCGTAATGGTCGTAAAGATAAAATCGTGGGTATCGATCAACCATACCTAAATTGTGTATAACGTTCACCATGAAGATTCTCCTTTTCTCATCGTCTCTGTTTCTTTCTGTCTACATTTGGGTAAAATTTATTTGCTTTATAGTTGCGTTCACTGATTAAAAATATACATTTCTAGGTAGCTGAAACCAAGGGTCTCTAACACAAATAAATAAATAAATAAAAAACACTACAACTTCTAATTTCAGCTCCCCGTATAATCGGTGGACAAGCAGCACGTGCTGGTCAATTTCCATTTTCAGCAGCCATATACACAACCACTGAAGACGGAAGATATTTTTGTGGGGGAGCGTTGATCAGTAACCAGTGGATTTTGACTTCCGGTCAATGCGTTTCTGGGTTTGTTAAAATATATAAAATATAAAAAAATACTGTATTGTATTTTGCGTTTTAGAGCCGTATCATTTACTATTCATTTAGGTTCAAACAGCTTGGAAGAAGCTGATCCTAACCGGATTACTGTGGCAACATCTGAATTTGAGCTACATCCGGAGTTTGACCCCATTACTTTAATCAACGATGTTGGACTCATAAAGTTGAGACAGCCTGTAATGTACAACGGTAAATGCTCAAAATAAAAGTTCCACTTTCTCAGTTTTTGAAAAATTTTAGACTATATACAACGTGTTTTGCTGGCTTACGATTTCACCAGTGATGAGACTGCTCTGACTGGGATTGGGTGGGGACAAACTAGTGACTGTAAGTAAATTCCCGATTTTGAGTGAGAAATACTTATTTATACTTTTCTGAAAGCTTTAAATGGACTTTCCGACGAACTTCAGTTTGTAACTTTGGTTGCTATTTCTAACGACGATTGCAAAGCTGTGTACGGAAATCAAATATCGGACCATATGATTTGTGTTGCTGGCGATTATAACGAAGGAACTTGCAACGTGGGTATTTTGAAATTCCGAGAAAATTGGTGTACGTTTTTTTAATTTTAGGGCGACACTGGAAGTCCTCTCTTGGATAACGATCCAGTTAGTCGAAGTTTGCGCCACGTTGGCATTGCTAGTTTTATTAGTGGCAATGGGTGTGAAAGCACCGATCCGTCTGGATACACAAAAACGTACTCCTTCAGAGAATGGATAAGAAATATAACATCTTTGTAAACAGTGTTAAAATAAAAATGTGTTATTTCATTTGTTTATATTTTATGGATGGCTATATGCTATTGTAATTATCAGTTTTTATGGTAGTTCTATCTTGCTACAATTATTATTATTATTGCTACTATAAATTTATTCTATGGAGGATATAAGAAAACTCTGATAAAATTATATCCACAATCAAAATGAAGGTCGTTTTCGGGTTTTTGTTGTTAATTTTTGTTGTAGATCCGTCCAAGGTACCAGTTTTATTATAAGTCGTAATTTTCACTAAATATGTATTCATAGGAGGCAGGACGTATCATTGGTGGTCAAGATGCATACGCAGGACAATTCTCATTTGCCGCCGCCATTTACACTACAACTCAGAACAGTCGATTTTTTTGTGGTGGGTCCTTAATAGGCCCTGAATGGATTTTAACAGCAGGACAATGTGTCAACGGGTGAGCTTCTATTAATACTATAACCAAGTCATTACATACACCTGTTTCAGTGCCATTTCATTTACAATTCATCTTGGATCAAACGTTCTGGAAGGAAATGACCCAAACCGTTTAATTTTAGCAAGTTCTGAGTATGTTCTGCATCCCGAATTTGATCCAAACACTTTGGTGAATGACGTTGGTCTTATTAAGCTTCGAATGGCAATTAGCTACACAGGTGCGGTTTTTTTTTAAAACCACAATGGATAAATATACTTTTTTTGTAGAATATATTCAAAAAGTGTTCATGGCTTATGGTGATTTGAACGATTATACTAATTTGGTGGCACTTGGATGGGGTCAAACCAGTGATTGTAAGTTTATATTTATTTGTGTTTAAGTATTTGTTTGATGCGTTTGATACGTAGCTGTCGCTGCACTTTCCAACGAACTCCAGTATGTGAGTGTCGTTGCAGTTTCTAATGCAGAATGTAGAGTTGTGTATGGAAACCAAATATCAGACCAAATGGTTTGTGTTGCTGGAGCGTACAACGAAGGAACTTGTACAGTAAGTTTACATTTAATTAGTGTCAAATTATAGTTAACAAATGGTATTACAGGGTGATAGTGGAAGCCCCTTGGTGCACTATGATTCAGTCAGTAAAAGCATTCGGCATGTAGGAATATCAACTTTTATTAGCGGGAATGGATGTGAAAGTCTCGATCCGTCAGGATATACGAGAACATATAGCTACAAAAGCTGGATAACCAACGTTTCAGGAATTATAACATAAAAAATGTTAAATGCGATGTTGTCTTACTACGTCATTTTTAAAAATAAACGTTTAATTCTATAAGTTCAGTGTGTAATTTCAGTATGGATAAATATATTAATTTTGATGCGTACAATGTGACACTAGTAATGATAATAATACAATATTTCTGTCAAATATAATGAACAAAATAATGGATTTTATTCTGATGCAGTTAAACTAAAAACTTGGTTACATTAAAAAATTACCGTTTCAAAATAAAATAAAAGTAAGTGTGCTGCGTCCTCTCACCCGAACACTTTTTCTTTATCTAAACCGGTAGTAATGTTTCTTACTCGTTTACAGGCACAATTTTCAAAGTGATCACATCCTGTTAGCAAATGTGTAAATTAAAGGATTTTAAATGATTTCGCTCGTCCCTCTAGAGGGATTGATTCATCTGAATCCAGACCGTACGTTGTTCATTTGACTAAAAATTGAAACAGCGGATTAGAATCTACAATTCCGCTGCAGGGGTTTAGGTGGCCAACCCTAGAACCCTCATAGTACATCAAACGCCCTATATTTGAACAGTAGCCGGGTAGTTGTGGTCAAACATCCAATACAATTTGGTGACAGTATGACCATTCTACCTGCATTACAGCTGGTAGTCACAGTGCTGACACTACCATCAGAGTCGAGAATACACATTTAATTCATTTATCGTGTATTTGTTTTACAGATTTCATTGCTTATAATTTATAAAACATGTACATTTTACCTCGAGACTATAGCAAGTGTAAGAGAAAAGCTAATTCTCTCTTTCTTTATTTTCTTGTGAATTTCATACCAGTTTCCTTTTAACACAATAGGTACGTGGAATGGAACTCTCAGGTTCTGTTGTACCTTCTATTTCAGCATGAGGGGTATGTTACTTTTTGTTAAAGAAAACTTTTTGCCCTAACCACTTCTATCTAGGTTATAGATGCATATATTTTCGCACTTGCAACACTTTCTTACCTAACTAATTGGAAAGGGAAAGAGTGTTCGAATCACAAGATGGAGCAAAATTAAATAAATCAAGCTATTTCATGACATCCCACCTTGATCGTGCTAATCTTCTGATTAGAACACTCCGTACCCAGTCTCGCCAACACGGATAATAAGCTATTCGAATATTTTTTATTATTATTAATAAAAGATAAAGGGCAGAGGGCAAGCCCTGTTATGCCCACGGAACTGTACAATTATAACAATATATGAACAATCTACAATCTGTCAAATCTGGATTTAAAAACATTAACATTAGGACTCTGGACGACTTCCTCCGGCAACTTGTTCCAAGTGTCAAACACTCTGTTTGTTACGAAATGCTGTCTTACAGTTGTACGAAAATTCTCTTTTTTCAGTTTGAAGCAATGACCTCTAGTTCTGGAATATGGGCATAAGGTAAATAAATCCTGCATCAATGGATCCTCGAGTCTCAACGATTTGAAGGTGAAAATTACATCCCCTCGAATTCTTCTGTCCTTCAATGTGGGTAGCGACATTATAATAAGACGCTCAGAATAAGATGGTCGGAAAGGGTCATTACCATAGGGAAGACGAGTAATTCTTTGTTGTACTGACTCCAAACGATTTTGATCTCCAATGAGCACAGGCCACCAAACATTATTTGCGAACTCCAGTACTGGTCTTACAAAATTTTTATACAACTTTAACGTGGTGCTTACACTTGGTTTTATAAAAGATCTTTGTAGTAAATATCCAAGAGAATTTGCTTTTTTAATGACACTCACGATGTGATCACTCCATGTCAGTTCTGAGTTTACTATTACACCTAGATCCAATTGGGAATTAGTGCTGGTTAATTATTAATTATTGTTGCAGATTTACTTTAAACTTTGTAGTGTACCGGTTCAAATTAAATTTAGCATCAGAAAGAATGATATTTTTAATTGTAATGTAGATTTGCATTTTTCTTGAAGAGAGGTGGGGAGCTTTCGCGCCTCTGTAGGTTCAGATTGTTTCAAGAAGTAGTAGTAGTGTAAGGATGTAAATCCCCCGTGTTAAAGTCACATGTGTTTGAGATGTATACGTTTCATTTATTTGTAAAATTTGACCGCAGGGCCAATTGACAGTAGATTAGAGGAACACCATCTTTACCCCCATGTGTAAGTAAAGTTTAAGATGATTTTTAATTGATAATTCGTTGTAGTACGACGGGCGTCTGGCCATTCTGCAATTCGACACATTGCATCATTTATTGTTTAGACTAGCGTTGACTGGGCAGCTGGCTGGTTTTCCCGGATCACGTTCGGACTTGTTAAAAGCAATAAAATTGTTATTTAATTTCACGAAGTCGCTGGGAATTATACATTTCATTTTCTTGTATGACGACAAAAAAAACATTATAATACCAGAAATGTTTAAATGCAATATTTTGTAATATTTTAAACTGTGAAATGTCTCAGGAGATGGATGGTTCTTCTTAAATTATTATTTCAACTTAAATAGATTCACCTTTGGAATTCTAACATAGTTTTTGGCAATACCTATTCAAGATTTAAATTTTAAAGATTGAGTCGCTTTGGAAATAATCAGCGAAATAAATGTCGTCGTGGATTCGAAACAGCAAAGGGGGTTTTATGCTGATTTGGTGTTACGTTTTATATGTTTTGTGATTCTAAATTTGGAACATTGATTTTCGAAAGTACCTCTCAGAGCGATGTGCAAACAAACCAAATGATATTTTGTGTTTTTGACCATATTGAACATGTGTTTGTGTATTTATGTGTTAAGGAATTCGATTCACTATGTACTCTTGTTTCATTAATTCTGTTTAATTGAATTTGGTTGGCTACTTCGGGCCAAGTCAAGACTGACTAATTTTTCCTGTCATGCATATAACTGTTTATTCGCAATATCGGATGCCGCCAACACGAGATATGCGGAGGGTGGCCTACTGGTAAAGGAAATTTTACTGGGGGTAGCCAGTGTCGTGTGTCACGCGGTGGATGGAATAAAGTTACGAGATAATACTTGAAGCAGCTGCCTCAGGCGCCCGCGAACACAGCATGGAGATAGCGTGGCGTTTGTGGGAGCATCGCGGCTTGGTTGTACGTAGCTGTGGTAGTGCAAAGAAACAGTTCGATGGCAGTTAAATCATTTTAATAATCAAAATCTGCCACCATATTGATTTGGGCATTGCTTTCCATTTCCCTTAGATATTCATTTGGAAACTAGAGCATTGTATAGCTTTCAGAACAAGCTATGTTTATATGTGATCGAAATTTGTAAATTTTGAACTTGAAAAGAACCAGATTTTTGTAACTGAAACATACAAAAAAAGAAACAACCAAAGGGAAGAACTTAATAAAATTATTCCCGCCATATTTTTGTGTGGTTAATTTCAAGGTCACTCTTCCACCCTTGAGGTTTACCACTTGCATCAGAAGGCATTCCGCCATTTCAAACACAACGTAGGGTTCTTCCACTTGATGACGATCACAGTTCATGGCCACTTTTCGAATTTTCGTGGGTTTTCAAATTGTGTGCGCATGTCTCAATTTTGGCGGAATGTTTGCGTTATTACCAAGCTTAGGTAGACTGGAAGCGATGACGACTGCTGAGGTATCCGCCAGATAAATAATAAGTACCCCGGCGCGACACCAGGCTATAAATTTGGCTGGCCGACTGTGCAGTCTTAACCACGTCACAACCTCAGTGGCGTTTAATGCAAATCAGGGTTTATCTAAACAAGATCATAACGAAAATTGTGATGTTGACCAGTCATTGTTAATTTTTAAAGTATTTTAACATCTAGAAGAACTCATCTAATTGAGGAGAATCTGGAAAAAATAATCATTGTCACCACGAATTCTCGAGATTGTAGCAGAAAACGTGGCCACGATTGTAATAGCGTTGGCAGTAGGTAGCTGCCGGATGGCAATGGGTGCGAATGACCCATCACTTCCAGTCTACCGAAACTTGGTTATTACAACTTAATGACAATTGACAGGTTCGGGCCACCTCAGGTGACAAAAAAGAAGTGTGATCTTTGTTCAGAAAATCTGGTTACTTTAAAACTTGTACATGGAAACGAGCAAGTAGCATTAGTACCTAGTTAGACAAAAAATGAGTGTTCGAATGAGAAGAGTAGCACAATGAAAGCCGAACGTTATAAAATCGTTTGACCTATTTAACCATTTGTACTTTTTGTACCCATTTTTGTATTTTACTTTTTATGTATTTTTTTTTTTAATTATATACAGTGCATCTTTTTTAAAAGTTGCAATAAGGATTCCCATGTTCAATTTTATACCCCATGTTAACTTATGTTTGAGTAAAGATTCAGAGAAATGTTTAGTGGATGTAATTTGAGTTATCTTTTCTTGATTTTATTAAACGTCATGTTTTCAATTAAATGATATTTCTTTAAAAAAATTAAAATATTTGGATATTTTTGCCGCTAATATTGTAGGCAGCCGTGTAAAAGCAAACATTTACTTGACGTTTCTAAACTTTGATTACTCGTTCGATTACTGGTTTTTAGTGACCGAAATTCGTCAAGATGGCGCAGTACACAATTAAAGGAAAAGAACAAATGGGCACTGATGGGTACATTAAAGCCTTATCGACAACAGAGAAACCGCGCAAAATTTTGCTGCAGCATTCCCACATCGTTCCATACCCAGCAAGAGCACATTTTGAAAATTTTATGGCAGATTTATAAACACAGGTTTTTTCGATTGTGGACATAAAAAAACGCGATTTCAGTGAAATTATCTTTTACTATCTTCATTTATGTTTGAATTCCATCATTCCCTTTCTTTTCTAAAAACTGCAAGAATTTAATGATTAAATCAAAATTATGCTATCAAAAATGACAAGTCAAAACCGTCTATGATGTACCAAACATTTTTAATCAAAATAATTTTTATTTTTGAAAGCACAAATTAACAAATTACTGCAAAAAGTGGTAGTGAAAATTAAAGTAGAACCCCAAGGTTATTTTCTCCGCAAAAATCATCTCTGGGTTTTCACCCTAACAAAAGTTAACATGGGGTCTAAAATTTAACATCAGAATCCCTATGGCCACTTTTAAAAAGGATGCACTGTATAGTTTATATCAAGTTTGTATAACCTATAAAAATGTGTTCCAATCGAGTTGACAACAAATTTTAAATATTTTTAATGAAGAAAATGGTTTTAAAATAAAATAAAAAATTGCATGAACTTAGAAGTTAATTTGTAGAATGGAATGGAACACATTTTTGGCATGACTCTGTTGTTTCAGATGTACATTTTTTCAATATCTTCTTTACGCAAAACTAAATATTTAATGTTGCAGATTTTTTTAATTTATTTTAGTTTAAGAATCATAAATAGAGAGCGGAAAATATGCAGCAAAATTTTGGCAAATATGATCATATGATATGCATCAAATTTATGCAAATATGCAGTAACTTTCTTAATATATGCAGAGATATGCAGTTGCATATGCTCCAAAAATAAAAAAAAAGCGTAATAACCAAACTAAATTTATTTACAAATTGCAAAAACAGGTTTCCCGAGCTTACGTTTTATTACAAAAAATACATAAATCACATTGCAAGGTGTTTGATTACATCTCACTAACACATAAATCACATTTTAAAGGTAATATTCTTATACTAAAAAATAAATATAAACAGAACAAATTAAAAAATAGTAGTAATCGACTATTTAATTACTATTTTGATAACAATTTATTTTTAAATATTTTTCGAATATTCTAAAAATAAATAGAATAGAATTTTGGCTAAAATTGCCTTCAAGGTTCGAGAGAATGCCGACTGAAAATAAGTTTGCAAATATTTATGAACTTGTACATAGACAAAGAAAGAAGAAGCCTTGTATTACTGAGTCCATCTCAGTAATAAGCCTTATATTACTGAGTCCATCTCAGTAATAAGCCTTATATTACTGAGTCATCTGATACTGAGTGGAGACACAATTTCTTAACTGGGAATTTATTAATTTTTTGGTTCCCAAATTTAATAAATAAAATCAAATATACCTACTCCATGTGAATTATTTAGAAATTTCACTATTTCTTCCTCTTTTTTTAAATTTTTGATAGTTTAGAATGAATATTACAATCCATTTCATACATTATTTTCTTTTGGAGCTATTTTAACAGCTGAATTTTAGGCAAAATTCCATCTTTATCTTTGTTATCTTTTAAAAACGCGACTTTGTTAAAATTAATTGAGATTCCATCATTAGGAAAGCAACCCCTCAAATTTTTTAATTTATATATCCTTGCCTACAATTTGCATTTCAATCTTACTATCTCGGTTTCACACCGATAGTGGTCACTATACTAACCAAAACGTGTTAAAGCTTTTAATTATAAATTAATGCTGCGACGTCTTGAAGATTAACATAAACACTAAACATTAAGTACACTGCAAGTGAATGATAATATACATTTTTTGTTCATTTTAATAAATAATTATCTTTTTTTAATTGGACTCCAAAATGATGTGTTGCAAAAAATCGCTACTCTAACAACAATATCGCGCAGACGCATTTTTTACGCATCCATCATTGTTTTTACAAATTTACGTATTTCGAAATGCCACTCGTATTTAACAATAACACAATTGATAAGCCTTAATTAATGTTATCAATTCGTGGACCAAAATAAAAAAATAATTTATGTATCTGTAAAAATTTAAAATTTGCGAAACAATGCAACAACGTGAGAAGATGAAAAGTGCGTAGATCAAATTGTAAATTTTTTCTTTTTTTCTACAGTAGTAATAGCGTTTTAAAAGAGGTTTTAAAAATCTGAAACCAAAATAAATCACTACGCTTATTATTGAAATTAAAAACTAAATTTAGTTGCAATAAATAATGAAGCTTATTGTTGTTTTACTTAATTATTTTTACTGTTTCGGGCAGCAGAGCCAAAAATCTTTATACTAGGAGTAGTAAACATAGTTAATTTTTACAACATAGAATTGGATAAAGCAACAATAGTTAACATAGTTTTTGAGTAATCGATAATGGAATTCTTTTTTCCACCTTAGTAGTAGAAACATCATAAATAACTGCAATAATTATATCTTTGATTTCATTATTCTAGGAAACCATAAACTCAGAACACGAGGTGAACAAGATCGACGGTCAGAATTTAAGATTGTTTCTGATTGTTTGATAACATGCCTAATTTTTTGAACAATAAAATATTTCTTAGCGTTTTGTAATTAAATATAAAAAAATGTTTCAATTGAGCTTCTTTTTCAAATTATAAAATTAAAATGACCCTTATAATTTACATTAGAAATATGTGTGGAATGTTAGAGTACAATTAAACGAGTCATAATGTTTCGTATAGTTGGTATTATGTATTTAAGAACCAGATTTACTACGAGAAGCATTAAATATTAAAAATTATAATAAAAGCACTAGACAACTTTTGGTTGGTTTTACCATCTGCACGATATTCCTAACATTCCTGCGTACATATAAAATTGGACAACAATCGGTCCGGTAGTTTAATATCTGAAAATTTCGACCTTTTTTCGACCATCTTCGAAAATTACCCAATTTTTTGTATATTTGCACTTTAAAAGACTATAAAACAACAGTTTTTGCACTGTTGGAAATAAATCGATAATGACATTATTGTTGTTGTTATTATTATTATTATTATTATTATTATTAATTCAGCAGATTCTTCTAGCTTTCTTAATGGAAAAATGATGTTTCAAGTTTTTTCTGTTTAAATTAACTGGTTTTATTTGTACCACTTCTATGCTACTGTGTCCACCTAAACGGAAGTAGGCAATGATAAAGTAGATGCTTTATTAGAAGGGATAGTATGGTTAGCAAATAAAATGGAACGTGAGTTCACAAAACTGGGTCTATAATTGATATACATATAAACAGCAAAGGACCCATCACTGAGCCTTGCGGAACACCTCTTTTTATGCTTCTACTTAAATTGAACGTCTTGTATTCTAATTTCCAAATATCATCCTAATAATTACGGAATGTATCGATTGTAGGGGACTAGTACTGTTGGACAATTAGACAAAATAGTAGAAAACCTATTATGAGAATATCAATGGGGATTTCGAAAAAGTAAGTTTGAAACATATATTTCAAGGCTGCATACAAATTTATCTACTGAGAAAAAATCCTAAAATCTGGATGCTAGGAGAAAAGTTCAAGTCGGATTCATAAACCACAAGTACAGATGTATGTTATTTTATATTATTTATTTTGGTACATGGCAAATATGGATGCTGACAAAAAAAGAACACAAAAATACAAATGAGGGAAAATAAAATACTAGGAAAAGTTTGTTGATGGAGAGGAATAAAGGAAGAACTGGAAAGAAGAGTTGTGATGGAAAGTTACGTAAAAGATCTGAACATGAAGAAGCCTTTTTGCGTCCTTGATATAAATATTGTCTATAATTTCCGAAGCTTTTAAGTTTTACTAACGATCTAGGGACAATCAGTGCATGACCGTAAGTATCTCAGACTCCCGTCAGGTAAAGTATAATTGCACATAATATTTGAACAGTCACCAGTTCTATTATACACAGAAGACTTAAATTTGCTAACAGAAACAGCATTTTTAATCCACTGTACTATATCCCCAACGGAAACAAAAAAGACATCTTTTTTCTCCAGCATTTTTTCAAAAAAAATGAGAAATCCATCTAACGCATTCTCATTAATGCGAAACCAAGATGTGGATATTTCCAAAACTATAGGTGCTCGATTGTAGTTCCGGACAAGGTCGATCTGTTCTACTAACGAGGCAGCAATGTCTTCGGAACTATCGCTGTAAAAAATTCTTATAAAAAAAAAACACCAACAATGCGATTAAATTTACCCAGTAAAACATTCCAGAAGACTTAAACAGGTATAACCCTTTACCGACCACTGATTAGTAGGTACCAACCAAAAATGTGGATACGTTTTGTTAACTGGTATTTGCACATTTGTTGGTAAATAATCCAAGGTGAAAGGTAAAATCTCGTTTAATGGCCAAGAACTGTCATACAAAATCCCATCGCTTTGAAGCCCATCATACGTGAAATTTGGATTCCAGAATACAGAACTTGTACTTCCATAAATGTCTTCTTTAGGCAGATTCGCAAAGTACGAAATAGCTGATTTTACTCCTCCCAGTTTATCTACTACATTCGGTACCCGAGAACAATTACTGACGACATTCATTTTAGTACAATACGAGAATAGCATCTATTGCTTTGCAACTTACCTGCAAACGCCAATTTCAAATCCTTGTAAATATAAGGTCTGTACGACAGAAAAATCTGTATATTCAAATGGAGGATAAAAAGTTGCTCCTATCTGTATACCATCTGGGTTTCGTAAATCGAATAGAAAAGATGTAATATCCAAAAACACGGAGGTTGCTGCTTCACGAAATGCTAATGCTATAAGCTATATAACGAACATATAAAATTTACTTACGAAAAAAATAGCTCTTACCTGTGGTGCGGGGTCATCTAGATCGTTGATAGGATTAATAGTTGATGCACAACGACAATCATCCTCGATTTTACAGTTTTCGTCATTACATCTGTCTGTCAACTTGCACAATGAATGCCCCCATAAAATAGATAGGGATAAAGCTAGTAGCAAAATTTTCTTCATGCTGTTTACACTTGCGTTATTATTTTTTGACTTCATCGAACTTATTTATAGTACGAATTTAGATAAGATTTTATCACTGAAGGTAAAAGAACAATTTATATCAATTTTAAAGAGAAAAATAGTTTAGATGAACGACATTATTGTAAATATATTAAATAATAATAATTAATTAATATTATTAATAAAAATATTACTCAAGTAGAAGAAAATTGAAAAGAGTAATCTTCAAAATTATTGCGTTATTTTTATTAAGAATTTCTCCAATTTCATTTAACAATAGGGATGTTCACTTTAACTTGTGATAAGATTTAATCAGAGTTATCGGTTCGAGGAATAAAATATCAGAACTGAAACATCTGTTTGTTTACATTTCTAAAAACAATTAAAAATATTTCCGTGTAATCATTGTGAAAGGATAGAGTTCACGCAAGGAATTAACATATCTTTTATTTTTATTTCGTTTTTTTGTAACTGATTCGTATGACTTTAATTCCTTATTTTAACTATATGAATAAATCTGTGCAGAACTTTTTATTTTATATATGTTTTAGCTGTTAGAAACGTCAAAATATTAAAAGTATAAAATTTTGTCCTGTATTTCATTGCGATTATGTTTTCAGTTTAATATCCCTTTGAACTTTCCATTTTTGTCATATATATGATATTCAAAAATATCTATGTATAGGTTAACATCTTCAATGTTAGTTGCAGTTGATGTTATTTCTGTCCAATTTGTTTTAGGTTATAATTTTAACATTGATTTTGCACATTCTCAACTTGTTCTTTGCCGCTATCTAATTCTGTGGAGTGTCAAAAACTTGAATTAAAAATACGACATTCGGAATTTATAAAGTACGACGTTCTTTGTTTGTAAAATATAGCCATCAGAATGTCCAAAGTACAGTGTCCGTTGTTTTTCAAGAACGACGTTCGTCGTTTATAAAATACAGTGTACAAAATTTGAATTGCTAACTGCAGAAAGGGGATATATCACATTTTTCAAAATGTTGAGGAAATGAATAAAACGTCTCAGATTTTTACAACTACTTGTTTCCGATCCCCGTTTTCAATTGTCGGTTCTCTATGTTCTCAGTTATCAACGAGTGTTGGTTAAATGCATGTTTTCTTTTTTGGGTCAATTTGGCTGTCAAATTTGACACTTGGACATATCCCCTTTTTGCAGTAAAATGAAAAAAAAGGTAAAAAAAACACAAAAAACAGCTTTATTTCAGTTATAATTTTACACAAACATGTTATATGTATATCTGACTAAAAAACTTAATCATTATCGCGCTCCTGTTCTGCAGTTGGCCAAGTAGCAATCTCCTGCCAAAATGCGCTATAAGCGTCTGGGATAAATCGTAAAGTGTTTGTTATATCCGTCATTTTCTTCTGGCTGATGGCTAGTTTTTCGGGATACGCTTGTATTGTAGGAAAAGCCAAATTCTTTTCTGTATTTCTCAATCTAAAAGTGTCTGTGAGTAAACCGTTTATCAGCTCTCGACTAACAATTTCGCTAGGTGAGGAAATAGTTATCTGATGAAAAGAGGCAATCGCAAATGACTTTTTCTGACTGCGTGGTACGCGCTTCCCGTAAGACTCATTACTTAGGCATGTCTTTTTGTAAAATCTTGACCACCAGCTTTTAAAATCATAAATCATATCTCTAGAAACCTCAACAATTGAAAATTTCTGAGGATTCTTTGATGCTGCAGAGATTATTTGAATGTATTCAGGTACTGTGTAGAATCTTTCAGCTCTTAGTCTTTAAGACGTTGAGACCACGGTGTTTACTGCAGAAAGTCGATATCTCCTGGACATATCCCTTTTCTGATGTAACCGTAAATTTCATCCGCTTGTAGCCCCTAGCTAAATCATTAAACATGGCCCGTTTTTGCAGTAAAGATGTGTTTAGACCTCTAGAACACGATTATGTACGAATGTTATTGTGGTAAAAAATGGGACATGTCCCCTTTCTGCAGTTAGCAATTCATTTATAAAGTATGATAATCGTTCACACTGTTAATATGAAATTTTAAAACATCTGGATGTCATAGTATTTTACACAATAAGTGAGTGAGAATTTAGTATCACGCATAGTAGCGGCTTGAGGTGACGTCATCACATTATTGGTGGGGATGATAAGGTAAATTTTGGTTAGCGTTATTATCTACTAAATTTGACAACAGTCATTATTAGTGGGGATTATCTGTCTAATACCAATCGACGCAGACAGTCAATCAGACAGACAGACAGATAGATAGAAGGCTTAGACTCGGGGGGTAACAACTGTATACAATCATACGGCTTTTATGTTTCTTAGAGTTCATACCGACTGGCGTACAACTTTCAACATAGGTGAATACGAAAAATTAAAAACAAAAAACAATAAGGAACTAAAATTGATTTATAATGAAAGAACACGTCTACTGGAACAACTAATTTATTACTTTGAAAAAAATAAGCAATAATTTTAGTAATATCTAATTCGTTTATATTTCTGTGTATACCTATTTTATGTGGTGAATAACTGATGTGTTAAATTGGTTGCATATATATAAACAAAGAGCAGCTAAATAACCAATGAATAATGTAATCCGCCTTCTTTTTTGACACGAAATACAAACAACCAATAAGTTAATGAAATAATACTTTAACAAATTTTATTAGAAACACAAAGCACAAAAAATAGATTCAACTATTTTCAAAGAAAATGTTTTGAAAATGTTCTTACTGGTGTCTTGTGGGGTGTTCAGTACATGTCTCCATTATTAAAATAATCATTGTTATGAAAATTAAATAACACTTATCACACAACACTTTTTGTATTTCGTTTCCGGGCGTTTCTACTTTCTAGAGTTTTGTAAGCTGAAAACAGTGGTGAAAACTAATTTTCGAAATTCGCATAAATAACTGAGATCTCGGTCTTTAAAAATACGTGGTGAAAAATTTCACCAAAATGAAAAAAAAACTGTCCTTATAGAGAAGATCGTAGAGATGTAGGTATATTTAAAATTTCATAACAATAGGTCAGTTGAAGACCCCACAAAAGAAAAAGATAAGGACTTGCAATGAAAATGCTTGTGCACATTATTTCAGTTAGTTCCTGAAATCCTCAACACCTTCATAAGATAGAAGAAACCTTCCACTTGATTTTTTTTACTTACTGAACTTAAGCGAATCCATCGGGCGACTGGCTATTTTCATCTTTTCTTGACCCAAAGTACGAAAAAATATGTCTCCGGTTTCTCACTGTCGTCTTTGATAAATGCACTCTGCAGATAGAACAAGAGCAGCAAAAACCTTTACAATTGATGATAACCCAAACTCTCCGCCTTAAATTGACCTTGAAATAGTTTGAAAGGCCCGCGAAAAATTCAAAAACTCAAAATTTGGCCTTGGCTGTGATCGTCTAACAAAATGGAAACCTACGTTGTGTTTTTTTTTTGAAAATGGCGGAAAGACGTTCTTTCATACAAGTGAGCATACACTGCTTGCTAGAAGAGAGCGCAAGAAATAATAGACAAAATTTTTGGGACTTTTACCGTGAACTGGTTACTCCAACAAAACACATAATAAATAAACACAAAATATCCAGTCATCGTTGCGAGGAACAAGCGTCTGGGTAATGTAAATTTTAGCGTTGCGAGGAAATGCCTGGATGATTTAAATTTTAACGTTACGAGGAACTCCTCGTTGATGTAAATTTTAACGTTGCGAGGAAACGCCTCAATGATGTAAATTTTAACGTTGCGAGGAAACGCCTCGATGATGTAATCAATCTTTAGCGTTGTGAAGAGATGCCTCAGTGATATAGTCAATCTTTAGAGTTGCGAGGACATGCCCCGGTGATGTAATCATGATAACGATAATAATAACGATGATAACCGGCTAAGAGAAGAAATTATTTCAACCCCCCGCCAGTTCACAGTATAATGAATTTTGTTAAGTTAACTGCCGTAAATGAACTATTAGCAATCTTGTGTGAAAAATTAAGAAGTATTATAATGTAACAGTTACGTATATGCATCCAGAACATTACTCGTAATTAAACAAAGGTGTTATCCTGACTAAGTGAATTTCATGAAATCTTTCAGCAAGTGGTTTATTTAAATAATCCTGATTGTTAATTTGTGTTAGCACTAGTTGACAATAAAAAAAACTAACATTTATGAATTTACAAGCAACACAAGTCCGCACTTTTTTCCGATTGAAAGGCCTTCGTTTCTGCCAAACCACCCTCTAACTAAACATGCAGAACTAACCACAAGCACTACGTGGATATGGTTGCCTATGTTTAACAATTTTTTTGTGATTGAATTTTTCAAATTTAAATTATTCAAATGTGATTTCGCGCTGCTCTTAAATAATTTCAGCGCAAACATTTGATTCAAATTCGGTCACCACAACTCAATAAAGAATTTTTGATAGAAATGCTTTGCAGATGAGAGCTCTGTAGATTAATGCCGGGCCGCAGCGTTTTTTATTAATCAAATCAAGAATGATTCATCCCAATTTGCCGAAAATTTGGGAAGATAGTACTGCTATTATTAGTATTAAACTGCACCTATTCAAATTGTTATAAGTGTCGTTGCTAAAATTAACGTGATTATTCATAACGTCATGAAAAATTTTGTTCACTGGTTATTATAAAAAAAATCTGCGGCATTTGTTCTGCTGGACTTCAAGGACGAGGTAATTTTTTTTATTTGAATTAAAAATTAATTATTAAGGGAAATCCGTTTACAAGTAATCACAACGAACTACTGTAAGTTTTAATTACCACTGGAGACGCGAATCCACAATTTGTACCATGGAGCTGTCTTAAAATTAGTATTTACTTAATTGGCAGTTAAGGCCAAATGAAGCTAGTAATTCCTAAATTTTAGTTCAGAAACCACTTTAATGGGTATATTATTATCATTATCAACTCTATAACTAAAAAATTCACAATAATTCTTTGTTCGATAGAATTAAATTGAAGAATATTTGTCGTAGCTGAGATACATTATATTATTCCAAAAGCACTGGTGTTTTATCTCCGAAATATCACTAGAAGACAATAATTCTGACCTGAAGGTATAAATTTGAAAATTTCTCGATCATTTGCGAACTGAATTATTTTGGCGTGGCGAGAGAAGTAACACATATATCATTAATACATAGATGAATAATATGGGTCCACAATGACAACCCTGCGGAACTCCTGAATTCAGAGCTACAGGGTTATTCGCGAGAGATAATGAGCCAGTAAACTTTAAAACGCACCCAGTAACACATTTTCAAAAACAGCTTGGCTCTTCGCTCCTAAATTTACTTAACCTAACACATAATTAGCCGTTGTTTTAGAAATTTTGACACAAAAGTAAATTTTTAGACATGTTCAAAAAATCCTTTCCAAAATTGACTCTCCAAATGTTTGACACTATCAATTTTTGTTTGATATATCTGCTCTTTAACTGCATACCATAGAAAAAAATCCCATGGCTTGGCGGTGGTCAAGGATTGACGGAACTTCTTACGATCCGCTCATTAGGGAAAATCATGTCAAGGTAATCCAAAAAAAGTCTGTGATAATGACATGGGGCACAGTCCTGTTGAAACCATAAATTTGTTCAAGTTTCTAAATTCTCATTTTCTGATACCAGTGGTGAAGCATTTCTAAGAAAATCCAAGTATCTAATTCCTGTTAACTTGCTTCTAAAAAAATAAGGACCAACAGTCTGATTTCCAGATTGTGCTTGTTAACATCGTCGTTATTAGAAAACCGAGCCTCGTGAGAGAAAAGAACATTATCATAAAAATTTGGATCCAAATTTTGTTTTTCTTAAAAAAAAATACAAAATTCCAGTCTTTTAGAACAATCTCTCTCCTTCAATGCTTGCACCAAAGTCACATGGTATGGATGGGACTTATTACCTTTAATTATTCTATTCACTGAACATTGACTAATACTGGTTGCTCTTCAGTTCATACTCTGACTGACATTTTCATATTCTGGGTTCGTTGCTGTTCTGTCTCTTTTCTTTTCAAATGTCGCCAATTTTCTCACTTTCAAACATTTTATAAATGGTATATTATCTGAAGCACTACTTTCATCCAAATCCTCCATTTTTTCCAAAATTAATGCGTTTTAAGGAACACAAAACTACAATTCACGAGACGCTTTGTTCAAATGCGATTAATTTTTTATTTGTTTGAAAATTGTCATAGAAACTATCTAGATGACTTAGTTTATTGCGGTAATAGTTTTTTCATGTAAACTTTTATAAAATTGATTTTAAACGTTCGTTCGAAGAAAAAATTATATATATATCACTTGAGCAAAGTGCCATTTCCTCCATCGGATTCTTAAGGCCCTCTCAACCTGAATCCGCGGGAGGAAATGTTTCACTTTGCTCCTTTGCTATATAAATAACTATTGTGGGGAGTATATATTTTATTTAAGAATAAACACTGAGGTATCTGTGCAATATTGGTTGCATCTGAAATCTTGCAGGCTCATTATCTTTCGGGAATAACCTTGTATATGGTGAGAGATACGTATTTTCACTAACTGATAACGATTGGTATAAAGCTTTTAAAATATCACGAATCCCATATGTTTTAAGTTACTACCTTCTGTTGACTGGACAGAAGAGGATTTAGGCAGCGTGGACTAAGTATATGTAAATATCGCTATAATTTGAAATTATTTCCCAATTTCTAGGTTGGAGAATTAGAAAAAAGCAACTGCATGTAATTAAACAGGATCTTAAATTTTCCTTCATTTACACTTCCGCTACAAATAATTCCATTGTCCACATCCTTAAATATGGGCCACCGAAGTTCTTTTTTTGACTTCAAGTAGGGGCTGTTCTTGCAGGTTGGTACTGAGAGATCAACCTTCTTGGACAGTTTAATCCAGGAGTTGCAGGAAAAATTATGTTTCTCTTAATTTTTATAAATTTATTGAAAAATATTCTAATGATGATAAGACAAATGTTACTATTAAACACTTGAATACTTTTGTTTGATAAAATCTGCTGCTCTTTCTCCTATCATTACAATTGTACCATGAGGGTTACCAGACACCACAGCTGGCATTATAGAGGCATCTGCAACACGAAGCCCCTCTATTCCGTAAACTTGCAATTCCGGATCAACCACTGCCAAAGGATCAGAAGCAGGACCCATTTTACAGGCACCAGCTTGATGATTCTCGGGACCCGTACCATATCTTATAGCACATTCCCAGAATTCGTCAGAATCATAACTGAAAATAAAATAATCACAATTAATAACATACCAACTTTAATAATAACACCTTACGTGTATTGTTCTTCACAGTCTCCATAATCTGCTTTGATCAATTCAATTCCATACTTTTCCTTCAGAACGGTTGTATTGGCAAGACTCTGAGCTACTCGAACTCCCTCAATAAGAATCTTCACATCGTCAGGATCTTGAAGGTAGTTGGGTTGCATCAGAGGAGCATCCAACGGGTCGGTGGAATGCAAACCAACATAACCTCTACTTTTTGGTTTAATATTAACAGACGAAATTGACAAAACTTTATGGCTGTCAGGACTATCCGGATCTGCTAGTTCGCCTACATTGCACGTTCGGCAACACGACGCCGAAAATCCCGAGAAGAAGAATTGCAAGTCTGGATTATCGCCAGCTTGATCACCATATTTTGTGGTCAGTCGTGCAGAAACTTGCGACATGCCAGTGGAAGACATGGGTCCTTGTTTGTTTGCAAAGTAATGGACAGCGGCTGCCCAGTCAAGGTCGTTAGTGTTTTCTAGGAGGTCTAGATTGAAGTCTACACTAAAAGCAACGTGATTGTGCAAGTTTTGGCCAACTCCAGGCAAGTCATGGACTTGGTAAATGCCAACTTTGTCGAGTTCCTCTGTGGGACCTATTCCAGATAGTAGGAGTATTTGTGCTGAGTTTATGGCTCCACCAGAAAGAATGGCTTCTCGATTTACGTTGACTCTGAAAGTAGTGTCGTCGTAGATGAATTCTACTGCTGATATTTTTTTTTGGTCTTCGGTGGTGTCGAGGATTACTTTTGTAGCTGTTGAGTTTAGCATTACGTGTAAGTTCGAACGACCGCGACCAGGCCGCAAGAAGGCTCTGGCACTACTGACTCTTGTACCATTTCTGCAAAGAAAATCAATCTGTAAATATAAATATGAATAAAATATCTACGAGTTGATAAGATTCGTTTCGAAGATGGAAAAGTAGATCTCCCTTTTCCGTCTATCTGTCGTTTGTCTGTTGGGGATTTTACTAGATCCTTGAAACTACTACAGATTATACTGGAAAATTCTAGGACTACTTCAGTATTACCGTATCGATGGCAAAACGCTTAATGAAATCTGATAACGTCTTCTCAAAACGTGCAAAATTATACCCTCTTATACCTGTAGTTTAATAATCCACCTTTATTTTTAAATTCACACCCCTTGCTTTTTGAAGAATAGTCATAAATAGTGTAACAATACGTTACCAATTGTTGCGTTTCGGTGTGTTACAGTTCAAAATATTCTATTCTTGAGAACACTTAAGATAGGCATCAGTTATTAAAGATAAATTGAAAGATTATCTAATCAAAAATTTTCGTTTGTACTACACTTTTGAATGAGAAATTTGAGAGTGATTATTATCTACTTTTTTTTTAACATAAAATACAACACTACTTTGAGCCTATTTTTTTACATATAAATGAACGTGAAAATATTTTTAGTTCCAACATATTACCTTCAACACTTAAAAATAAGTACTTACAAGTTAGCTGCCTGGGCAATGGTAAAACCAGTAAAATTACCATCGTTGATATCATTGACAAATTCATAACCCAGTTCTTGTGCAGCAGCCATTAGGTCCTCTGCTAGCACTGGATGGTCTGGAAACCTGGCTATCGACATTGGTCCACCAGTAGCATGTATCTCTTCACTAACCAGAGTACCAACCTGCTGATTGTTTTCCGACATCAAAAAGTACTTCATAACATCGTCATATCCCCATCCAGTATTTCCCAAAGCCTCCCATCCATCGTAATCTTTAGGAGGACCTCTCATGTACATCATTCCATTAATCGCCCCACATCCACCCAGCATCTTAGCCCGTATCCACGTGCACCTTTGCTCATTATTACCAAGACAAGCATATTCCTGTGGTTCAGTTTTATACCCCCAGTCTAAGCCTGGTTTCATCAAGAAGTTGCCTAACATGGATGGTACTTGTGTACCTGGAGGTTCATCGTTTCCAGCTTCTATCAGCAAAACTTTCCAAGCTGGATTTTCTGACAATCTTCCTGCAACCACAGATCCAGCAGCACCTCCTCCAACAACCACGAAGTCATAATCAGCATCAGGTTGTGTAATTGGGGTAACTCTTCGGCACATTTCTCCTAGGTCGCATTTGTTTTCTAATAGAGCGTTGATAAGGCTCAAGAAAACAATATGGGTGCCTCCGTAGCACAAGTCACCAACGGAGGGACCGATGTAGGGTGCCGCACAACCGCAACTCATTTTGGAGACTATAGCCTGATCATGTTGGTCCCAGATTTTAAATATGTCCCTCCAAATCTCTGAAGTGTGGTTTTAGACTCTGTATCACGCAGACTCCTAGTGAAGTTTTCATTGATTGTTAGCAAGAGCAGTGAATGATTCAGTGAATTGACCTTGTGGCAGCCACTACCTGTACTTTAAACAATAGCCTCAACTTTTATCTCGAATTAGTAATTTCATAGAATAGTCTCCTTGTTTAAAACAGTTAGTATGTCGTTACAGAAAGCTCTATCTCTTTTTTTTAGTCGTTTGCTTCTTATTATAATGTTGCTACGGAATTATGTGACGTTGATTTCGCGACTATGAACCGATAAAATTAAAATATTTATTTATATATTTATTATCTGTGATTTAATTTTTGTAAAATTGATAGTATCTTTAGTGCTACTTCAGTTTTAATTATGACAGACCGTCTTGGACAATCAGAAACCTTGTTCACTATAATTACATTTTGAAGTGGCACGTAATAAGATAAATCTTACTACAAGAAATTTTTTGAGATAAAATTGTAGATGAAGTTGTTGTGTATAACCTCGAAACTGATTTACTAATAGATATAATGGAAGATGACTATAACAAAATGATGCAATTTTAGTAGTTAGCAAACGTTATTAAAAAAGTTTAACTGTTATTTCAAAAATCTGTAGATTCCAGGTTTATAGTTTGAAGCTATAGTAACAAGTTTTCGATAAAAAAAAAATTGTATAATAAATAAATGCATAAAAAATTATATCAATCTGTTTGTCAATCTAAGACAACTTATTAGACAAAAATCATGTGCTTAAATCTTCTTGAACTTGAGTGACATCTTGTAAAATCTTTATATCTGAATTACTACCCACTAGATTGGTATCATCTGCAAAGAGATCTAAGCTTGTTTCAGTTGTACACTATGGCATTTCATTGATATAAATTACAAACCAGGTGAATCTTAAAATGGAACATTGCCATTTTTTAAGTCGAAACACGTATTTTTATAACAAAAAACATTTATCAAAATTACTGACCAAGTTATGATAGTCGTCGTGGTTGAAATTATTATCGAATAGTTTATTCCACTATTCATTCCGTTCACGATTTTTCTGAAGAAAAATAGTATCACCCGAGAAAGGAAATTTAAGTTTGTCACACTGACGAATAATTGAATTCATAACCTCATTTTTAATGCCGTTTTCAATGAATTAAAAGCTCTCAAATTTCCATAGCCAGAAAGATCGTGAATAGCAAAATTATACAGTAGTACCACAAAACGCTCTCAGATAATTTTCAAAATTTTCAAATACATAAATATGATTATTCAGTTTTTGTTGGCGCTACACTTTCTATAATGTGTCTGTCTTCGATGCTAGTGATTTGGCTACAACAGAGAGCTAAGAACAACTTTATAACACCCACTTCAACCACATCTTTCATCTATATCAATCAAGCATACTTGTAGAGATCCAAAGTTTTCGATTGTTATCAAAGTTGAAAATAATTATAATCAGCAAAGACGTGGATGTGCGTCATATACTTACATCGTGATAAAATTTTTAGTTTCGTTAAACTAACGGCCGATAAATTTAATTACACTCTTCTGCGCTTTGCGATATTTATTAATAACTCGAGTAGTTGTTTTGTCCCAACAGATCTCGAAAATACAGGGTAGTTAAATGGTAATAATTTAAGGCAATAGTTAATGAGTTGATACTTTTACTTACGGTTTTCTTAATTATTATAGACTGCCTTAAATGGTGATTTAAAAATAGATTTAAAAATGTGTTTGATTACATCATCAAATAAGAAACTCGTGATACTTCAGAGCTTTTTAATTTATAGAACAATCTATTGTCTATTATCTACGATCTACGACTCGCGTAGGTGTAAATATTGTAACCCAAGTGCATACGTACCCAAAATTCCAAATCAACTATATTTTAAAGAAATCTAAACCTTATTGTACCAAAGGAACAAAATTCCAACTGTAATATAACAATAAACGTTACAAATACAGTTATTCCTCGGCAGTTATTCAAAAATAGTATGTATAATGCTGATTTAAAAAAACATGTATAAAATACTAAAACTGTGATTTTTGGAACGTTGAAAATATTTACATATCTTGAGGTCAACCGATTTATTATACACTGTTACGTAAACCTTCATAGCTGGTTCCAAGCTCTACCATAAAATTCCAAACTCTCTTTGATAAGATAGTACAAACATTTGGTGACGTTGAAGGTGTGCTATAGCAATACCCCAATTTGGTTTGGTTATGTTCCACATGTAAATGAAAGATATTTCAACAGGTGTAGTAACTAAAAAACTATCAACCGAAGCAAAAAAAGATTGTTTGACAGTATATACTGTTCTCTTATTTATCCGCTGTTAACTATTAGGTCAAAAAATCAAGTCGACTTTTTTGGTGTAATTTTTTTCTTTTTTAATTTCTTGTTCCCGCTATTAAATCTTTGTCAAACCAATTATTAATTTTTGAATCCCACTTCTGACACCAGTTTTATGACTTACGGCTTGGGTAAACCTCAACCATTAATTAAAAGTGTGCGCACAAAATTTGTGATTTAAAGTCTGCGAACCAAATTGGAAATGCAAAAGGAAATTACCTAAGTAGTTTAGTCTGATGGTCAGAAAACACTGTGTTGAAGGAAAACGTAGAACCTGTTAGTAAAAAATAGGAGTTTATGAATGAAAAATGACAAATAAATCACTGGGGAACAAACTTGGTAAGGTAAGGTAAGAAATTTCCACCGATGTTTGGAAGATGTAAATAACCGAAAAAGAAGACAAGAGAGAAGCGTAGAAGAAAATGCTTAGTAAAGTGTTAAAACAATGTCTAAAATTATTGATTGTTCAAAGAGAAAGAATATAGCTTCCAAGTTGATAATTTTCAAATTTAACAAAACGTTTATTCCTCCTCTGACAACAAAAAGAAAAAAAAGCTGCCACTAAGTTGTACCGGTTGGAGACACCTCTTAATGTTCAGGACAAAAAATCAATGCAAATATTTGAATGTTATAAATTTAATAAAGACAAAGAAAAATCTGAAGTAAAGTAACTGCATGCAAATACAGAAGTTATTACGGGCGTGTAGCGGCAAATTTAAAATTATGGCAATCAACAACACAACAAAATTTTAATAGAAAAACTCTATGCAACGGAAGCAGCATCAGAGCGCCATAAAAGTGTTGCGATCGAACTATATCAAGCAGCAACATTACCCATTGGGGGCATTGTAGCACGAGCGGAGTTTGGGCGTCCTGGTTATGGCTGTTCTCCCACCACGACGGTGATTCTATTCTATCTGCAAGCATGTCGCCCAGCACCCCTCTATCACGGCTATAGATAAGCTGACAGCGCCACGTCATACCGACCGCTCCCCTGACTTCTATTTAAGGCCTGCATCTTTCGTGCAGATGGCGCGACCGCCGGCTCGACAAGGAACTGCGCACTCCGCTTCCGTCACGTGTTTCTGTGTTATTTACCTCAATTCCATTTTAAATGTTCACTTTTTATGACCCTGATATAAACCACAACTGAACAAGCGTTAAAGTTTCAAACAGCAATAAACAACAATTTATATGATGGAAACATTAATCAACAAAATATTTAAATGAAAAAGAAAAACTAACAAAAACTTGTGCAGATAAAAAGTTACGTGAGGTTAGGGGCTGCAGATCAAAATTTACGTTCAATTTAAATTATACAGCAAAGAAAATTACTGAAGTTAAAATTGCGAGATAGAGACAAGTTGCAAGAAGTGAAAAATTGCAAAGCTAACAAAATGACATCAGTTTAATATTTGCTTTTACACTGCACTGCACTTTATCAATGATTCAAACAAAGAATATACATGATGTTAAATTATGACACATTTTATCAACTGTTCAAGTGATGTGAAATTATGCCTTGATCCAATGACTGGTTACTTTAAACAATTAGCTTTGGACTGTCACCAGCTTATCCCAAACAAAATACATGATAAATAAACACAATTACGATTAATTTTCGTTAAACAAAGGCTCTCCCCTTTTTATTAACTACCAAACCAACTAAACTCTCATTAGATACTCCCCTACAAATTCCCCAAGGAGAGCTATCAACTACCCAAAAAGAACTGAACGTGCATATGGTTGCCTATGTCTAACGATTTTCTTGACTGAATTTTTTTTCAAATTCAAATTATTCAAATGCGATTTCGCACTGCTGTTTTTTTCAGCGCGAAATTTTAATTCAAATCTGGTCACCACATACTATTATTAAAATTACATTTTAAGCTTTTTAAGGGGACTCGCTAGAGGAGGTGTGACAACTTCCTCCTTTTTTATATGATGAAATGGTATTAATATAGTTACGATGCTCGGTGATTTTAAAATTGGCGTGGGTAAAATTCAACAATTTATGTCTCAGTAACTTAAATTCACACGACTGATAACACATCGATTATGTACAAACGGCGCAACTTGACTGGACTATGTCTTGGATCAAGGCGAATTGTTGACTCGTTCCCCACGGTGCCCTTAAATCCATACATTTCTCTCGATCGATCGCAAACGCCGCTTCTAGGTTTTTCTGGACCCCGCAATCGAGAGTTCTGATAACCGGCTCCATACTTGTCTTTATGCTAACGCCGCCTGGCCGCCGTCACCGATGATGAGTCACCCATCATCGCCGCACATACTAGAAAACCCATAGGCGTAGTATCGGGGGGCGTATGGGTTTATTTCGTAACAATATAAATCTATTATACATTAATTAGCAGCTTTTTTCATGTTTTAAACCCCTGAGGAACAGTTAAATAAAAACAAAAATACCGTAAAAAACACTTTCGTCTTTTGTTTTTTCCACTTTGTTGTGTATTAAACATCATAGAATCCCTCAAAAATCCTCACCCTGACAAAATAACGTACTTTAAAGGTCTCGGTCATATTAAATATTTGTTAGTAGTACAATTTATTTCTCGT